TGGAGACTGGGAGGGAACCTCACAACCAGCCACTAACTAGGCTTCAGAAACATCCTTGCGAGGGTAGCGGTTTGTTGAATGTCTAGTTCTTTGGGGGCAGAGTAGCGCTGTCAGAAGCCTTTGGGCCACCCACCCACGTCAGGCCGTTCAGGTCCGTGGCAAGCTCCTGCATGTCCCCTTTTGCACATGCAGGTGCATGTTCTGTGGTGTGCTTGCCTTCAGGTGATGAGCACTCACAGGAAACTGACAGTGGAAACCTGTACCAAAGTCCGTCCATGTGGGTGTGGCTCAAAAATGGGGGTCCAAAATGGAACCCTGGCAGATGAAAAGACAGGCCAAAACCTGCTTAACCCCAGCTGTTGAAATGTTTGAGCCACCATGTGGATGCTCGGCATCCACAATCCCTCTAGTCAGCTCTTCTCTTGAGGTTCCAACCGCAAAAGGCCCCACTCCTCGACCTTCAAGGAGCGCTCCGACCATGCCCTGGCTCCAAGCCATCGGCGGTGGTCTGTCGAACGTCGACATGCCGTGTTGCTTGGGACATGCCATGTTGCTTGGGAAATTATGTCTTGCGTATGAGGCAGCAAAATTCAGAGGAGGCGACCTCCTCTACTCTACTCAATATCTAGAATCTACTAGGCCAAACAAACAACCTACAACCTTGAACTGAACCTCCAACAAGCTGCCACAAAAGAAAAAAAAGACAGCACAGCTTGAGCCATCAAGTTACATGCGCACCAAAGGCCTTACTTGCTTAACCGGTCTGGGGCATGGGCCTTTGCACTTTGGACAGCACCACCTCTGAAGCCCCCAGCAGAAGCGGGCCATCCTGCAAGCGGCAAGGTGCTCTGCCTCCCCAGCAACCCTTGGAAGCTCTTGCGGGGCTCAAATTGCAACACGTGTTCAAACCTACGTCTTGGACTTCACTTGGGCTTTCGGCTCTCCCAGTGCCGAATATCAAGGCCGAACGGCCCAACCGCGATGGTGGGAACTGTGCCAGAACCTCGAGGGCAGGAATGAAAAATGATCATGTTTCGGCCTCGAGCGGGAGCAAATCAACACATCATCGCGCCCGTCCCGGGCCTTGTCTAAAACCGACACCGCCCAGATCATGTTCGAGAGGCCCTGAAGCTGAAACTGCTGGGCCTCGGCCGCTGCCGGCCAGCTGACCAGAGCTTCGATGCACTTCGCCAGGTCACCCGGCCCGGTCGCGCAAAGCAGCAGACCTCGATCCAAACGAATCCATCCAGGGTTTCCCCTATTCCTCCTTAGAACATCACCCCTACCAGCGCTGAAACTCGCCTTATATTGCAAAAATGTGATGCGCGAAAACTGCAAAAGGAAGGAACTACAGGGACCCCTGTATGGCCAGTGCTGGCTCAGCTTGCACACCATGCCTCACACCTCAGCCTGAGGGCGCTGGCATCACGCAGGTCAGCCGCGAGCTCGCCAGGTGCAGCCTGCACGACAAACGAACCGCTCGTCAAACGGACTGTACGACTGCATGAACAGGGCACAGGACCAGGCCCCACATGTCTTCTTTGAACGGACACGACTGAATTCCCATTCTGCTTAGTTTGTTTTCTTTGCAAAGGAACTATGCTCATGATGGCACTGTTCACCAGTCCCTCCTTCCATTTGTTGAAATACACCAGTGTCAAAGTAATTAGATGGCGCGATGAGTTGTTCCCCGTATGTTTGCAAGTACTTGTAAGAATAACACTTCATTGGGGAGGTTGTGACATTGTGCCATCTACTTTCACAAGTTCCCGCTTCGCCCAGGGACAGCTGACCTGCCTAGCAAAAGACCAGGACATGCTGGCGATGTCCCGACCTCAACACTGACAAAGCACAAGTCAAACGCCTGGAGAGGCCCACACGTTGCATCCAGCGGAGCCCTGTGCAAAATGAATGCCATTCAGGCTGGGAAACTGCAGGAGACTCGTAAGGCTTTGAGGGCGATCCGGCAAAGGGGCAACCCCGTTTTAACCCATGAGCGCCCAGTGGCTTCGCTGGCCACTCCCCCTTTAGGACGGGCCCGAGGCCTGAGGCACTCGCACGAGCACTCCGAGGTCCTGTCCAAAGCCTTGCACCCGTGACTCACCCTCGCCACTCGCGGTTCATCGGGAGCCGGCACATCAACTCAAACCCGCTCAAGCCAAACCCTCCCATATCTGTCCAACCTCACGGAACATGGGGGGGGCTTCAGCTTCCATCTTCAGCTTCCCGCTTCTTGGTGGTTTGGATTTGCGGTTTGGTGGTTCAGGAGGGGTTTCGCATGTACTGTCCACAAGAACCAGAACTTCAGACCTTCAAATCCCCAAACCACCAATCCAGAGCACAGACTAAGGGTTACCTGACATCCTGAATCCCTGCTCCTTCCATCCTGAATCCCCACTAAAGTAAAGCTCAAAATGGGCGGTGCACCTACCCCAAAATGGGATCCCATTGGTTTTGAACCATGGCCACATTCCGCCGAGTCCAAAAACCCGAAGCCTATTTAGCAGGGGAACCCTCCCCCAAAAAGAGAAACTGTAAAAGGGCACCTAGCTGGGGGACCTAGTTACGCCGATTCCAAAAAACCCGGAAGCCAGGGATTTCCATTCTTTTGGGGTTTAGTGGAAAACCCCTTGATTTCCCAACATGTTAAAGTCTAAAGACCCAACCCAACAGCAGTCGTCAAGTTCCATGCTCTCTACATTGCGCCGATTCAACCTGAGTCATACTCAAAACCCGGTATTAAAATGGTCTCCTAGAATCATGCTTCAAGAATTAAGAAGGCGGATGTCCGCAGTAATTATGGCAAGGGGATTGTCCCTTACTAACCTGGATTTACCCGCATTTTGAGGACGTGGCTCACCTCAGACTTGTGAGCCTTGGGCGCCCTTTCAGTGATCAAAGTGGAAGACTCAAACCCCAAGCCTGGCGATGCCCGGGTGCTGGACCAAACCACGCTGCGAGTGACGCCGGGGATTTCTCCGCCTTCTCCGCCAGGAGCTGCACCAGCTCCATGTCCAGCCGGAGCTGGGCAAAGGCCCAGGCCCTGATCAGGCTTAAGACCCCCCTCCCCCCCGAGAAAAAATACACACACACATATATCTATATATACTGACACCGTATTAATTTACCCCAGTTTATTAAAAGGGGGAGGGTCCCCTCCAAAAGTAATGTGTGCCCCCGCAAAAATCAGGGACACCCCCTATTCATCAACAGAGATTGGTTAATATGGGGTCAACATGATAATTCAAATGAGTCCAGATAGCATCCCGAACCTGCAACTCCCAGAAAACGAATGGGTGATTTTGCGAGCTTGCGACCCCAGATTCTGGGTGCAAGGTTTTGCCAGCTTGCCACATAAGTTGATGGCTGCTGCCGTGTCTACTGGCCTTTTGAAAGGGAACGGAAGAACAGCAACCGGTCAGCACCAAAACAACCAAAGCAGTGGCCCTGGGCCACCTTTCAGCGTGAAACCGAACCAACGCTTTTCAGAGTTTGAACCCATCATGAGTCAAGCTCTGACATAACTTTTGGCCCCACCCAACCCCATACCCATCACTAGAGCCAGCCCCAATTTCTGACATTTGCCCGCCTAAGCTTGTCTGCTCCCAAGCCCAATTTCGGGCACCCAGGCGTGTTGGAAAGATTCTGCAGCTCAAACTCCATTATCTTGGCCCTCACCTGCAAAAGCGTTCTCACACTCAAGGACATGCCGCTCTGAAATTACATGCAGGTATACATAAAGCACGTGCACAGGATCCTGGTGCAAGCCCCACCACACAAGTTCCGAACAAGCCCCGCCGGTGGCGATTTTCCTCGCAGCCGAGCTTTGCGGCAGATCTGCATCGCGCCAATCCGCGAGCACGGCTCCCATGGAGGAGGCAATCAGCGACAAAGGGGCAGCATGGTGTATCATAATGTTGACCCAGATTTATAAACCCCTGTTTATTCATGTGGGGGTGTTCCCCTGCAAAAGTGATGAATCCCCACTAAAACCAGGGACACCCCCCTATTAATCAACCAGGGGTTTATTAATCCAGGATTCATCACTTTTGGAGGGGGAACACCCCCTTTTAATCAACCAGGGGTTTGTTAATTCGGGGTTAACCTTGCAGCTTCCAGGCTTTCTAAATGCAGGAAGCCCAAGGACTCAATCGATTGCACTCACCCCTCCAGGTGCGCTGGCCGAGTTCTGCAATCCTCTCCGCCCGCGCCGCCGACCTCGAGGGAAAAGCACGCCTCAGCGGCACTGGCCTTACGTGCGCTGCGAGCAAGCAAGCTAGAAACTGCGCACATGGTGGTGCTTCCACACAATGTGAGAAACGCCTTGCTGTTTGGCAAGTTGAACATATACACCTCTTCTGATGGCTTTGGCAGCTCTTGTTCTATTTGTTGCACGGGCTTGATGCACTCATGCCTTGTGATTCTAGAGCTCGTAGCGATGACACAGAACCAAATGGTAACGAATTTGGTGAGAGGCTTCTGTTCCCTGACTTTTGCTGGCGTGGTTTATGGGGGATACATGAAGTGCCTCTCCCCCCAGACTGCCAGAGCGGACCGAGGAAAGTAAAGAAGGAGCCAAAGGAACACTAGCGCCTAATAGGCCTTGTTAGTTTTGGGGGGCCCTTGACAACCAGAGGAGTTTCACTTGAGGCGCGATCTAACTGCCCTACTTCAAAGGGACTTGGATGGTAGGCGTAGATGTGCTTTGTATGATACATGTGAATACTAAGTGTGAACTTATATATGTACATGCTTATGTCATGTGTAAACAATATGTGCGCATTCATACGTGTGTCCGATAGCACTGTTCAACGACGCCGTCCTCGTCAACCGAAACTCCTTGCCATGTCCTTTGCTTCCTTCGAAGTTGGGTTCCGATTTGTTACCCTCTGTGTTGACAATCCTGGTGGTTTAATTTTGACCCAGACCCATTTGGGGGCAGCATGCCTCGGTCTCATCCTATTGGCCGAGGCTCGGGCCGGCTCAGCGGCCCGGCGCCATCACCGGCGTCGTCTGGAGCGCCGAGAGCGCCGAGAGGAGCTAGAGCGCCTCAACACGCAAGCCATCTGATTGTGTGCTGTCATGTACATCTGCATATTTCTTAGCAGAATGCATATGTGTATATATATATATATACATATATATATATCTGTACATACGTCGGACCATATATATAAAAATACATATCTGCATGCAAACTTATATATATATATATACTATGTGTACTGTTTTTTGCGTGTTTTGTGTGTCAATACCAGGCAGACCCACACTAGCCCTCAGGTCGAGCGCTCTCTCCCGCCTGCGGCGCCGGGCCGGCACCGGCTCCCGCAGCGGCGCCTGCTAAGTGGAGAGCTGGCCATCTCAACATCCCTCGGGGCAAAGTTGGGGGCTGGTTTGGCCTCTCTGACATCCCGGGACATCTGTCTGGCAAACAACCAGGTTCTAATCCTGGGGCAGATGCTGGCAAATAACCAGGTTCTGATCCTGGGGCAGATGCTGGCAAATAATCAGGCTTTGAACTTGTCATAGTTTCATCACACCACAAGAGGGGCTGGTTTTTCCATTTACCCTTCAGAGTCAGGGGCTCAAATCCCCGATGCATGATTGTCCGTTGGCAAGCGATCGGAACCCGTTTGCTGACCGCCGAGGACGTGATGAAACTATGGCAAGTTCAGAACCTGATGTTTTGCCAGCATCTGTCCCAGGATATCAGACAATCGGGGCAAACCAGCACAAATCAAGAGCAATGACGCATTCGAAGGCCCTGTCCGTCAAATCATGTTACACCTATGTTCCACCTTGGCCGTGCCTTGTTTGTTCTCATAGAGGGGTCAATGTCAATTTTCGTATTTGGCTGGCGGACTCTTGGTTTCATGACTTTGCTTTGCAGCTCAAGGGGATGCATGATACATATGCATATAATATATATATATATACCTGGAAGGAACTGATTCAACCGCTCGAAAGGCTGACATCAAATCCGACCACATATCTCCTCATTGCCTGGTTCAGCAAAGAGCGCTTAGAGTAACCGCTCCCTGCCTGCCGCACGCTGCGTGCATAGTCATCGAAGTGCTGGGCCATAAGGATCTGCATGACCTCAAAGCCATTTGTTGCAACCAAGTCATTTGGGTCAAAATTAAACCACCAGGGGACCGCAGGTTTTGGTCCATGTTTTCCATTTACCAGGGTTCCATTTTGGGCACCTATTTTTGACATGCCGCTTAGCCCCAAGTGTGAACATCCCAATCGCCACTAAAACAGACTAAAATGGAGATGCACCTACCCCAAAATGCTACCATTGGTTTTGACCCACACCCATTTGACCTATTTTCAGATTCCACCGTTCATTGGAACCACTGTCTTGTCAAGCTTGTACATATGTTGCCCCCAAAAGTTGCAGATTGTGGATCCTGCGCTGTCTCAACCGCAGGTGTGCAAATGAAGTTCTCCCGTTGAATGAAGTTGGGTTTGTGGGTTTGCAAACTATTGCGCGGTTTTTGCAGCCACCAGAAGTTGGAAGGACCTGCTGGCGGAAGCGGAGGGAAGCGCAACTCACAGCAGGAGCCAAAGGTCATTGACCTCCTCTCTCTCTTTCTCTCTCTCTCTCTCTCCCTCTCTCTCTCTCTCTCTCCCACTCTCTCTCTCTTGGGTCCACCCAAAAAAAATTGCCTGAGGGGCATCCGCCCCCTTTAGCACCGACCCACGCCCCTCGACTCTACGCCCAGCGACCGCCTCGAGCTCTCTCTAAGCTTCCGGCCCGCGAGTGCCGCGCGCCGTGGCCCGGGCCCGTGGAGCGGTGCGCCAGGGCGTGGCAGAACTCGCCGAACCAAAAGCCCGTCTCCGCCTGCGCGGCGCGGCGAAAAGGCGCGCGGCGGAGAAGAAGCGAGCGGCGAAAAGGCGCTTGGGAGATTCGAGGACTCCCTCCTGAGCCTCTAGCTGCTTTTTTGCCCAACCTTCAATCGCAAAAGGATTTGTAAATGAGAGTCTGATCCAAAAAAACCTCCGGAGCTTTCTCATCAGATTTGTCCAGACATGGCCATCGGCCCTCAGGGCACTGCTCCGCTCACTCCCCCCCAAAGTCCCGGCCGGCGGCCGGAGGCCAGCTGAGAAGAGCAGAGGCCAGCTGCGCCGCGCCCCGTGGTGGCACTCTCCTTGGAAAGAGGTGATGTGGCTGTGGTCGTCACAACTAGGGGAGCCCCAACATGGCTTGCCCTGAGCACCCAGGTCAGGCTTCAAGCCGCGCCAAGTCTGAGGGATGCTTAGGATCAGCTTTGAGAGGTGGCCGTGGTCGTCAAAACCAATGGGATCCCATTTTTTGGGGTAGGTGAATTCACCACCCATTTCAGAACCTGTTTTAGTGGGGGATTGGGATGTTCACTGGGGGCTAACCGGGATTTTGACCCATGGCCATGTAGGTGTGGTGGTCACATTTGGGGGATGGCATGCCCTGGTAAATGGAAACATGGGTCCAATTGAAACCTCCGGTCCAACTCCCGGCGGTTCAATTCTGACCCATGCCCATGTGTCAAAAAGGTCCACAAAGAATTGTTGCCCTCTCACTTCCCTTTGAGCCCAATCAAAGGCAGTCCTCTCCCCGGGCCCCCCCCCAAAAAAAACAAAGGCCCCAGGAAGGGGGGGAACCCGAATGGTTGGTTCCTGGTCGCCTTCCCTTTAACTGGCCCAAATCGGGTAATTGCCCTGGACTCGGATGCGCCCTGGAGTTGTTCACAGGCTGAGTTTGGAAAGCGGAAGTAAGACACAGGGCGGGCATGGACCAGTGGCACGTAGCTTTGCTTCAAAAGCTTCGCCAGCAAGCAGAAACGGCAAACTGAACCAGCCTCGTCACAGAACCCATGGAGCAGGCTTCAACGTAGGTCGTTAGCCTTCATGCATTCCGAACATGTTGAGATCGCTCGGAGAACTGAAATAAGTCTCTTGGACCTCCAGTGGCGATGGCAAAACAGGCCACTGTTGTTGGTAGTTGATTTTATAGAGAACCCCCCTCCAGAGAAAAGACAAGGGCTTTAGAGGGATGGCCAAGGCCGCCACCATCATCTTCCAGCTCATCACCGTTGACGATGGCAACAACATCCGCGTCGAGGCGGAAAACAGCCACCAAGTTCCTCAAAGGGCAAGACTAGCTGATTAGCTGCGCGAAACACCGAAGATGATGGCCTGCCAAAGAAAACCGCCTGTTTTGGAATCTGAATCTGCAGCTGGATCCATCTTGAACCGAACTGTCCACGCTTGAGTGAGGGCAACCAAATGTGCCACTCGTAAAGTGTGGACTGCTTCCCCCTTGAGGGTGAAGGGGATTCTCCTGCAGGGATGCCTGTTCGGATGTTTGACAGGCTGTAGAACCATTCCAGCCCTACACGCTCTGAACGCAACCCGCCTTATAAACGCAGCACGGGAGGGTCTTGCAAGAAAAGCTGAGCCAAGTTTCAGCAGCACTGCTGCCAGCTCATCGAGCTCCCGCTCTGGCGCCTCCTGAGCTATTCGGGCTGGCGATGCCGCCTACTTTTGGACTCGCCTTTAGCCTGGCACCAAACTTACATCCCGCGCTTTCTGATTCTCGGGGCGTGCAGCTGCAGCGCTGAAATGTAAGAAGCCTTGCGCCTCTCTCCCCACGCCCTCCGGACCCAAGGCCGCGACGTAGCGCCGACCCAGGGCGCCGGGGCCAGCCGGGCTGGATGCCTGGAAGACGCAGACTCGCCTGCGGGGTGCAGAGAGTTCCCGTTGCCTGGTTCATGGGCATCCATGGGCCCACGCCAAGGTGGCTTCGCTCCCTGCCGCTGCCAAATAATATGTGCGCTTGCGCTGTACTGAAGTGTGTGGCACTGTGGCCGTAAGACTGTGTAAGCAAAAGGGCCGGAAACAGCTCCAAAACCAAGCGAACTCCAATTAAAACGGTGACTGCCATCTCACTGCCCATGGCGCCTGGCAGAGCCACAGCGGCTGAGGCGCCTCTCCGGCACCGGGGGGCAGCGCACCGAGCGCGCGGGCAGCGCTGGAGTCAGAAGACCCTGCACCGAGGAAGCTCCACGGCAGATGTTCTAGGAAACGGTTTGTGGATCCACCGTCCACCCCTGTAGGATGTTAAAAGAGTACCAAGAGAGTACTATTTCTTTAAAAACAGGAACCTACAGGGGGAAGGACAGGTGCAATGCACAAAAAGCGCATCCAAACCATGTTCCACAAAAATTGAAAAAATAACAACTGACCGAAACACAAAAACGTGGCTTTGGTCATGCAAGCGGTTGCTTCAGAAACTGGGTGCTGTGATTCCGTGGAAGTGTCCTACTGAAAAAGGCGCTTGTAAGTACAGGGTCATGGGTCATGGCTCAAGTTGATCACTATATGAGAATCCCCCATTGCGTTTCGAGTTTCAAACATGCACAGCGGTCAAACTCCATGGTTGGGTTGATTCTGACTGTCCAATTGGGAAGCAATTCTTCCAGCAGCTTCAACTGTTGATCCATGCAGCTAACAGTGGCTCTCAGAAACTGCTGACTGGTCCTGGGACACTTCGGATTCTGGCCGGAATGCTCCCGCCCCGCAGCTCATTTTTTCTTCACGCTTGCTTGCATCTTCGACACAATCTCCGCCGTGTCTTTGGAGAGGCTCCTCAGCGGTTCACCGGACATTCTGAACCCAGCAGCATAAAGCAATGCAAGTGGGCCAAGTCAATCGACGAGCCTGCAACTCAAAAACCTCTTGAAAGATGCACTTGGCTTCTTCCCATGGATACTGTTTTTCGAGTTGACTGGTGGCCCGAGTCAATTGGAGGCCCTTCAAAGACTGCCGCTGCGGCATTTCAAGGAAGTCGTGTGCAACTGCAGCCCTTGCTTTGCTAGGGGGCCCCTCCCCCCAAAGAAAAAAAAAGATTGCATTTTGGCTTCCCCTTGAACCCAGCCCAAAGTTACCAAGCCTGGATTTTTTCTCGGGTCCGAGGCTCATCTTCTGCAGGGCCTTCACCCTCTCGCGGATCAGCTCCTGCCGGTCTTGGTCCAACTTTTGCCAGGTCCGGAAGGCGCAGTTGGCCATGCCCGCCGCCACCTGGGGGTTCAGGCCGTCCACCTGAGCAAAGCGCGCGTCGCTTCACGCGCGCGACTTTTCGCGGGCAAGATGAGACACGCAGAGCGCCAACGGCTCTGCCTGCCTTGGGTATCATCTCCAGGGCGAAGTCGTAGCCGGAGCCATCCGCAAGGTGGAACTGTGGGCTACCGATGAAGACGCTGACCACCGAGCGCAGGCGATTTGGATTCTTGAGGGTGAACTCTGGGTGCTCCATCAACTGCCTCACCTCAACGCACCCAGGGCCAGTGCTCCAGCCCTCTCTGGCCGCCCCAAGCCCAGATGCTCGGGGTCAAAACACATTGGGCGCTGCCAACAGACTTCCAAAGCCCGACTCTTGGGAAATCTTTGCGAATTTGCGCCGGCCCCGCGACATACGAAGTCAACAGCCCTGAACCCAACTCTCCCGAGTGCAGTCCGCGCCACCCGTGGCAGCAGGTCATCTACATCGGCCCTTGCCTGCGAAGCAAACCACTTGTCGATGACGTTGGCGTCGCCTGGCTGCCGAGACAAGACTCTTCATGGGAATTCTGCCGCCCGCTGCCGCCCGCTGCCCCTCTCCAAGCTACTTGCCAATCCGGATGACTTGTCTACGCCCCATTTCAATAGTGCATCCAACCCCCGATTGTGGCAATCAGGAGGCCAGCCAACAAGCCAAAAGCCGCCCTCAGAGCCAGGGGGCCTTTGGCTTCCGCCAGGAACACCTCCACGGCCTCCTTGGCCTCCGCGGAGTCTGGCATGGAGCAGAGGAGGCTGAAGGCTGCCTCCTTGTCCGTCATACCTGCACCAAACATGTCCCATCAGCTTCTGCGATGGTGCCAATCACCTGGCCCAACCACCCCCAACCACCCCAAGCACCCCCAAACACCGCCTTTTGCCCTAGTCCAACTTGCACAGCAGGTCTACAGTAGGTGACGGTTGCGGTGTCATGTGCTCATTCCCGCTACCCAGTTGCCAAGGATAGAAAGAGCAAATGCTGCGGTCAGGAACGCCTGCGGCCAAACCCATGTGCAACAAGCACATCGAGTCCATCCATCACCTTCCAGCCCACCAAAAGGCCATCAAGGCGCGCAAGTCACCCGCGTGCCTCGTGCGCTCCGAAAGTGTGCGCCGCACCGCGCTGCCGCCTCTGCGGTTCCGGGTGCAGCGAGGTACGCCAGCAGCACGTTGCGGAGCCGGCGCCGGCTGGCGTTGGGCCCGTCGATGGTGTAGGCCTCGCCTTCCTGATGTTGGGTTGCCCTGTAAGTGTTGTAACACAGTTTGGAATGTTCCGAACTTGGAGAAATGCGCTGCCTTTGCCGTTTGCATCCTGGAATTAAGGAACACGCAGTCGGACATGACTTGAAACGCCTGCAAGGCATACATAGTCCCAAGATCAATTAAAAGATCTCCACATAACTCTTTGAGGACACGCCATGGCTGCCATGCATGGCCAAGCTGATGATTGGTCAATCCAGCCGGGCAGCTTCTGGCGTCAGCTCCTCATAGCGGTCTCTCAAGTCTTCAGCAGTTTCTGCGGCGATCAGCTTCCGAACTCGATTCCTGGCCGCATGGAGCCGCATAGGGTCGATGGGCGGCTGCGCTAACGGAATAAGGGTCGACTCGCTTGGCAGGATCAGCGCATAAGCGATCAGGGACAAGTCTTCCGTCTCCCTGTCTTGCACGGTTCTGCGCAGGGCGTCCATGAAGGCGCCCTCAACATGAAACCGCCAGTGCATCCAGCACAGCTTTGGTGCCCAGACGTTGCATGGACTCCCAGCGGTTGAAGGAGTCCGTGTCGAAGGCGGCAAGCAAAGCAAGGTCCTTGTCACTGTAATCCTGGGCTGCGTTGGGCAAGGAACTTGCTAGGAAGGCTGACGGGACGCGCAAAGATTGGGTCAAGCACGTGTTTTCCCCCGTGCTGACAAAGGACATGCGTTTTAGGATGGTGAGTTGAGATGCGAGCCAGCCAACCAAGCAAGCAAGCAAGCAAGCAAGCAAGCAAGCAAGCAACCAAGCAACCAACTAAGAAACCAAGCAACAAAGCAACCAGCCATCAGCCAACCAACCGACTAACCCACAGACCAAGCAACTCAACCAGCCAACCAAAATACCGAGCAACCAGACATCAGCCAGCCAACCAATCGACCAACCAACCTACCGACCAAGCAACTAAGCAACCAAGTTACCAAAGCAACCAGCCATCAGCCAACCAGCCAACAAGCCAACCAACCTACCGACCAAGCAACTAAGCAACCAAGTTACCAATGCAACCAGCCATCAGCCAACCAACCGACCGACCGACCGAGGCAAGCAAGCAATCGCAGGCAGCTTCGCGCCGAGGTGCGTACTGCAGCTGCACGGGCGCAGAGAAGCCCCGCAGCAGCGACGGCACCGGCTTCTCCTCGCCGGCCACCGGGAGCTCAAAGGAGTGCTCCTCCTGGGCAAACGGTCTAGCGCGCCTTGGCTCCATGTCGAGGGAAACCAAGAGGACACCCACCATTTCCGAGCGTTTTGGGGGGGCTTTGGGGGTTTTGGGGGGGTTTTGGGGGGGGGTTGGGTGTTTTTTTTTGGGGAGGGGTTGGGGGGGGGGGGGGTTTTCAGGGGGGGGGGGGGACATTTTGAGACAACGCCAAGTGGGCATGCAACTGTTGATCCACATTTCTAGGATGGCGCTGTGTCGTCTTTTTGTGGTGTGCTCAAGGGAAACCACGTGCAAAGCACGTAGAACCAAATCCACATCCAGCAACCCCACACCCGGAACCACACGCCTGGCCTCAAGAAGCTCAAGCACCGTGTCTGGCACGAGCTCTTTCCCCGTGGCTCGGTCCAGGAGTCCAAGCCTCGAGATGTGACAATGGCCAAGGCGCGCCCACGACGCTTTGCTCTTCGTATCCCTTTTGCACCCGTGGAACCCAGAGCGAAAAAGGCCGGCAGTGCAGTCCAACAAGATGCAAATGGCTTGGAACGGGAAAGCCCAGATGCGAAAAGCTCGGTCTTGGGCATGGTGGTCAATAAATAACCACAATAGCAATAATGACCAAGAATAATCATAATAATGACAATGAAAAGAATAATTTTGCAGTAACAATAGCAACAATAATAAGCCTCCCGCCTGTGGACAGGCGTTACACAAATTCAAAGCAGTCGAGAAGCCGGACTGGGATTGGCATGGGCAGCGTGCCGCTGTCGTCTGCAGTGGCGGGGACAGACTGCTTCCTGAGCCCGCTTTGTGTCCAGCCACTCGCGTCATATGTAAGACACTTGCATATGCACACTTGCATACATGACAGGGCAGCCGATTTTCAAAAGTCGCCGTTGAGCTGCAAAAGCATTGTTGTATTTGAATACGGCCTGCCTACGACGAGGAAGACACGAGAACATGAAAGGCCCCTTCGCGCACGCCCTGGGCCCCATGCAAAACCACCAACATGTTGCAAGCTGACAAAACCCCGCCGAGGGAAAAACAAAAAAACAGGCGCTCCATTCCGCCACCGCTCTCGGCTCCAGCACGAGGCTCAGCCAAGGCGCAGCGTCAAGGTGTAGATCCCCTGCTCCGGGTCCCAGGTGTCTGCGGCCTTCAGCACCGGCGTGCCCGCCTGGGAGTACCACCTCTCGAACTGCGAGAGGTCTCGGCCATTGGCGTCCTGCGGCAATTTTCGCGTTTCGCGCGCAGTGGCGCAGGATGAGGCGCTCGCCCCAAAAAGCAGAGAGCGCGTTGCAAGCTCGACGCCCCGGAATGAAAGAAAGGAGACCGCTTTGTCAGGAACCCACGGAGCAAATGGCCAGCTGTCATGTAACAATCGCGCCGGCGCGATTGGAACCCAGGAACCCACGCCAGCCTGGGGCGTGGGTGGTTGACCGATCCAGCCTGCATGGCGGCCCGGAAGTCATCGCAGGTCACTGCAGTGCCATCGTGGCGCTGGAAGTAAAGGTCCATGCCCTTTCTGAAGCCATCGCGGCCCAGCAGAGTCTCATACATGCGGATGACCTCGGGCCAACCGATCACTTTGCCACACTTGCCATGGAATCCCAGCCCAACGCCCATCCAGCCTGCAAAAGTCAACTGGCATAGCTGAACTGGACTTCAAAAATCAGAAACCTACGAAAACCCACTGATGAGTGGCTTACATTCTGCCCACCCAGCGAGAGGTGTAAGCCAAGCACCTCCGCTCCCTTCCCGTAGACTGTGGCCGCAAGAAATCTGGCGGCACACCTCTCCGGGCGGATCGGGTGTGCCATGGGCCCGCTGTCCTATGGGCGCATGTGGCCGCGCATTCCCGGAAAAGCTAAAACACAAGCAACAACAAATTGAGCCCTGGCAGTATATGTTCAGAAAGACGCCCCTACCATTTGACATCAATGTCTGAGTTTCGTACCCGTGCTGTCTGCTCCATGAGCGATCCTTTGCTACCCCGGACATGCTGACATGAATTTATCTAGGGCAATCAGACTCTCAACTACTGCTGCATGCAAAGCGCTTCGTCCAGCACTTCAAAAGGGCTGCACATGACAAGCAAAGCAGCTTGATCCCCCTGCAGTGGGCAAAGAAACTCTGCCTCTTGCATGAGGGCTGGCTTTCTTCGGCGTCCTCCGGGAACTGGTATGAGCGCAGGAAGCGCACATCTTCAATGCGCTTGCGTGCTCGGGAGCCCATGTCCTTGGTCGCCGTGCCAGGTGCCACCCACCTTTCCCTCTTCCTCTTGCTTCCAGTTTGCATGCCGAATTGGCAACCAATGCGACAAACGATCTGCCGACTTGCTTGTACTGCTTGCCTTGCCCTTGGCGGAAGCCAAAGCCCGGAGATGCCTGTCGCGGCAAGTCATCCAGCCAAGTCTCTGAGGAGAACTCCTGATCTCTGTACACCGTGAGACCTTCTTTCAGCGTCAGTTGGAACCAATCCCTGCACGTCACCCGATTGCCCGTCCAGTTGTGGAAGTACTCGTGCCCGATGACCCCTTCAATACTCTCGTAGTCGTCATCCGTGGCGGTATCTTCCCGTGCTAGCGTCAGCGAGGTGTTGAACACGTTCCTGGTTGGTTCTGGGGTCCCTCCCTCTGGGAGAAACACATGAATCACACTGCAAAAAGGGGTGCACACAACCTCTAGTCAGCGTGCATCATGACTGGCCCACCCGAAGCTTGAGGTTTCCGCCCTAGCTTACCCGGGCAGCCGTAACACCAGCCGGATTTTCTGCATTTGCAAAGAAGCAAGCACAAACAGCACCAAACAAACATGATTCTCTTGCGCTGCCCGGCGTCAGGCTCTTGTTTTCCATGGCTCCCATGTTGAAGTCCCTCACCGCCACGATGTTGTATATGTCCAGGTCGTACTCCAGGCCGAAGCGCTCCTCGTCCCAGCGCATGGCGTGCTGCAAGGACCGCATGGCGTGCCAGAGCTGGTCCTTGTCCTCCCTGGCGGCGAAGACCTCCAAATGCACCTCGCGACCTGCGCTGTCGCCCCGCTAACGAGCTGCCAGGCGTGTGGCCCCTCGTTCACTTTGCGAACCCGGAAAGTAGGTGGAAAAAGTAGGGGGGGGGGGGGCAGGGCAAAAGGGGGCCAAAGGGCAAAAGGGGCGCGACAGGAAAACGAAAGGCAATGAGGACACCAGATTGGCCGCGCTGCAACATCAATCTCGACAAACGGGGCCTGGCAACAAATCTGTTCAAGTGCCCGCCTGATGCAGTTACAAACTTGTCCTGGATAGATGCCAAGTCCCCCGCCACCAATGCGAAAAGGTAGCAGGGCTTCGCAAAGGGATCCGACCATTCAGCGAAGTGCCTGCCCTCCGGCAGCTTGCCCGTGGCGATGCGGTTGCCGTTGCTCAGCAGGATGGGGCACCTATCCTCGTCCGCCTCGATGCGCACGGAGGTGAATTTGGACATGACGTCCGGGCGGTCCAAGTAGTATGTGAACCTTCGGAAACCCTGGGCCTCCATTTGGCTGCAGTACATGCTGCCGCCTGAGCTTGCGTGAAAGCCTGGGCACCGGGCACCCCTCGTCGTGCTGGCAAGAACATCTGAAAGGAAGGTGAGCTTTCCATGGGTTCGCTCAAGTTAAGAGAGCTTGGTGAACAAGATGAATCGAAAGAAATAGCGGCCAGTCTGCCATTGCTCCCTGAGCTGCTGTAGTACAGGCCTGACAGCTGTGTGTTCTCCTCCGGCTTGATTTCCACCTCCGTCTCAAGCCAAATGTCCTCCTCCACCGCATCCGCCGCATCCAAAGCCACAGTAGAGATCACCAACTTCTCCCCCGTGACATTGTAGTCCTCGCCGTCTTTTAGCTCCAGGCCTGGATCGAAGACGCTGGCAGAACCCGCCGGACTCACCCCACATCTTGCAGTGAGAAGGCACGCACACACCCCAAAGCTCAAACATTCGCTACGCAGCTGCTAAGAAGGCATGACTGAAGGATGCTGGCTGCCGGCACAACTCCCGGTTGCAGTTCTCGGCCCATCTTAGTCCTAGCGCTCATATCGCGTTGGACTGGAACCAAAATGAAACACCTTTCCATTCCCATCGCTTTCCTCTGCGAACCTAATGGCAATGAAAAACTGCCCTTGTGAAGGGACAAACATTTCCCCTGCACCCAGTGAACATCCCAATCCCCACTAAAATAGGTTCTAAAATGGGTGGTGAATTCACCAATCCCAACCAAAATGGGATCCCATTGGTGTTGACACCCAGGCCATTTCCCCCGGAAAAAACGAAAAACCGGGCGCCTGCCAGGACCACCCGCTTTAGCCTCAGCTCCTCCCCATCCAGCGCCAGGCCCTCGCCCGACCGCTCCGCGCGCTCCAGGCGCAGGCGGCTTCGCACCTCGGTGCGCTGCTCGAAGATGCGCACCGTGAGCCGGGCCTCGCGGATCCAGCAGCTGGGCTCCTGGTAGTCCTCGGCTGACCCAAACTTTTGCTTTGCTTTCCAAAGCGAAGAAAAATGGAAACCAACCACCATTTGAAAGCATAGTTTGATGAAAGCTTTGGGGGGGCCACCTACTTTTAAGACCACTACTTTTAGGAAGGGAAACAACTAAGTACTTTAAGCCAATTTTGGGGGCCAACCAAATGGAACCAACAAAATGGAAACAATTGGAGCCATTTTAGGGGCCAACGACTTTTTTAAGACACACCCACCACCTTCACCGCGGCCCCTCATTTCGCAGGCCTTCCGGAAAATCTCGGGCGGCGCCGACTGCTCCACCGCCGCCGCCGCCGCGGCGGTGCTGTGGCGCCGGCGGCGCTGCTGTGCGGCGACGAAAGCACAGGCGCCCCAGGCGGGAGGCGCGGACCAGCCTGAAGTGAAGGAAACTGGGCTGCTTTTCTGCGATCCCCTGCCAAAAGTCTTGGTTTTAGTTGAATGGGAACTACCAAACAAGCTGAAAACCTTCCAAGAACCTAAGGAACCGGTGGCTGGGCACCAAGGAATGTGTGTGTGTGTGTGTGCGTTCTGGTTGATGCCCGTTTGGAGTGCGACACGCAGGTTATCGTAAGCATCGCTGCCACCTTCCAGCGGCATGGTCCAGGGAAATTGCTTTGGTCCAGGGAAATTGCTATCAGTGTTGTGGCCCAAGGCTTTCTGCAGAAAGGGAGGGAGGCAAGGGGGCAAGGGACTCAGAAGACCCCTTCTGAATAATTGGTTGGCAAATTCCCAGAACCCTTCTCTGATTGAAAATGCCCCTTTCCTGCCCAAATTCAACCATATACAGACAGTAAACACAATTGTAAAATGTCCAAGGCTATTCCCCATGCTTTTGCCAATCAAAGTCCCAAGGGTTTCCGCTCCAGAAATCAAACAAAAGAGGCCAGGGGGTTCGGTGATCCTCCCCGCCTCCTGGCTGGAGCTCGAGCCCGGGCCGCACCGCCCGCACCGGCGCCACGGGCGCCCGCACCGGCGCCCGAGGCGCCCGGGCGGCGACGCGCGGCAAAGACAGCCGCGACATGGCCGGCATCGGCCGACTCAACCCGTTGACCGGGGGAGCGGAAAGCAAAAACGCATGTGCAACTTGATTTCTGGGTAGAGTGGGAGATTTGCTTAGAACGACGACACTGAGCAGTGTGTGCAAAGTTGAGGGCGCATCCGACATGCTCATGTTTGTCCATGCGAAGTATCATGATCTAGCGTGCTACCTTCCTCTACATGCTCCCACGTGACTTGTGCGTTAGTGGTGGTGCTTTCATTGCGTGTTGCATGGAGTTACGCATCTGCGCCGCATGAAGCCAAGCCAAACAACGGTGCTATATGCGCAAGGCATGAAAAAGTATCAATGTGCATTCTTCAATCTTCCATGGTTCGATCACTCTTGTGCTGAGGAAAGGCAGCCAAACGCGCAGACAACCAGCCCCAGCCTCGCCGCCTGCCTCCCCAAGTGTAACAGTGACATGATCATTGCCGGGTTTCTCCAACCTGCCCAAGCCTACTACGAAACAGTTAAAGAGTTGAAACGTGACTCCGCCAAACATCCCAGCACCCCATCCCCTTTGTACCTGCGGCCTGCTCTTCTTCTCAATCCGCCCAGCACACAGGTTGGGATCAAACACATCTCCGACAAACTCCTCCTGAAAAAAATGCTCTGCTACCTTGCTGCCGAAATTCCCAAGCCTGGTCTGAGTTGCCCCCCTTGGGCACAGCATCACATGATAGGAGGGTGGCGACAAAAGTGGCGATTGGCAGCTGATTTCCGGCCCCGCGTGGCCCCAGCCAGTGCCTCGTCGTCGGAGCTGCCGCTATGGCCTCCCCTGCCCCTGCGGCGCAAAGATGCCAACGCCTGGGAGCCGGGCGGCGTGCGGCAAGGGGCGCTTCCCCACGTTGAGCAAAGGGCTGTGGTTGAAATGGAACCCATCTCTGTGATATTCTGCGATACAACAAAAAGGGCCTCCCAAAGACTAATTAGCCCCCCCCATTCTTTTTATAAGGCAAGCGAAACCGGCAAGCAAAGCAGAGGTGCAGGTTATATAAATCAAGACCTCCTGCCCAAAAAAAATCGAGGCAAAGGAGTCTCTACCGCAACACCCAGTGCCTCCTCCGCAGCCGCCAGCGCATCGGCCTCTGTGACAGTATCGCCCCCCAGCGCGCGGAGCAGTTCCTCTGGCAGGCCCAACCTGTGAAGATCAAAAGGATTCAATTGGGCCCAACCTGTGAAGATCGTCTTTAGATTTGGGAGATGCTCTCGTTCTTGGCCGAGGAACCGTGATCAAAGAACCGCCAGAAAGCTTGGTTTTCTTCGCCATTGCCACCATCATGCTTAAAACCACATTCTTCAGCGCCGGAAGTGAACATTAGGCGTTCGCCAAGTGGCTCATTCACCATGCGCCCTCTGCCATCGCCGGCGACAAAGCCAAAGCCCCCAGACCTCATCTGCTCGCGAAAGAGCGTGCAAACATCCGCCACATGCCATGGAAAGTGGCCTGAGGTTCATGGATTTGCAGAATGAAACTCCTACAAGTACAAGCTTCTTGGGGCTTTGACGGGCTTTGAGCCACTTGCGTCGAACAATCAGTCTCTAGCGGCACTCAGCAGCTTGCAGTGGACACTGCATGCCTCGCGGGCAAAAACCCAGCTCAAACCTCAAGTGCGCCCAAACTACTAAAAAAAGCTATATACCAGGACCACCCATGGCTGGCAAATGGTTTGTGGAACGACCTCCCAATGGCTGTTTTGGGGTTATTTGCCAGCCATTGGAATGGCCCGATCTCGCCCATTTAAGATGACCAACATATGGGTTTCATTCAAGCCCGCACCCCCAGTGAACATCCCAATCCCAGACTAAACTGGGTGGTGAATTCACCTACCAACCAAAATGGGATCCCAAAACGGTTTTGACCCACAGCCATTTGATGACAAACTTGCATCACAGCGTCCCGCGGGATTGGCCGCCCCGCTTGCCGTGGTTGATGCGAGCTTGGATCCCCTCTCTCAAGGCTGCGGCATCCACCACCTGGCGCAGCATCGAATTGCTGACTGGGACTGGCTTAGTGGCTTGGTGGCTTGGTGGGTGGGTTGGTTCGTGGGTGGGTGGGTGGGTGGGTGGGCGCGGGTGGGTTGGTTCGTGGGTGGCTTGGTTCGTGGGTGGCTTGGTTCGTGGGTGGGTGGGTGGGTGGGTGGGTGGGCGGGCGGGTGGGTGAGTGGGTGGGTGGGTGGGTGGGTGGGTGGGTTGGTTCGTGGGTGGGTTGGTTCGTGGGTGGGTGGGTGGGTGGGTGGGTGGGCGGGCGGGTGGGTTGGTTCGTGGGTGTTGGTTGGTTCGTGGGTGGGTTGGTTCGTGGGTGGGTTGGTTCGTGGGTGGGTGGGTGGGTGGGTGGGTGGGTGGGTGGGTGGGTGGGCGGGTGGGCGGGCGGGTGGGCGGGTGGGGTGGTGGGTGGTGGGGTGGGTGGGTGGGTGGGCGGGCGGGCGGGCGGGCGGGCGGGTGGGTGGGTGGGTGGGCGGGCGGGTGGGTTGGTTCGTGGGTGGGTTGGTTCGTGGGTGGGTGGGTGGGTGGGTGGGTGGGTGGGTGGGTGGGCACAATTCTTGTTTCGTTTGCGGAGCTTGCGAGGACCAAACACCAGCGAAAGACACAATGATCTTGGGACGCCCGCTCCCAATCTAGCCATCAGTCAATGACCCTAAATGCTGATCAGACTGCGTCTTTCTCATGCATGGGCGTTAAATTGAAAATTCATGCGCACCTGGATCATCTCCATTCTCGCGCTGGACACACGGAACAAACTGCAGCGCAGCACCCTGAGAAGTGTTACTGCTGTGGAATGGGAAAGGCTAAGCGAATCAGGATGAACACGGAACAAGGAGAAGAGCTAATCTTATCCACCTATCCACACCCACAACCAAGGCTCCAAGACCCGTCCAGGACTTCCCAGTGATGGTGGTGGCAACCCTTGCTCCCCGAAGGGATTTTGAGTTGCCCCTTGGCTCCCCAAAAAATATGGCCTTAAACCACAATAGCAATTCTAGCGCTGAACCAGCGTTCCAAATATGTTCCCTGAAAACAGCACCGAATCACCCCACCAAAGGCAACTCACCTTCCAGTGGACCGCACACGTTGATGTTTAAACCCCCCAACTTCGGGTTTGAACTTCAAGTAAGGGACCCTTCAATGGACATCAAGTCTTTCGAGTTTCGGCTTCTTTTCCACACCCTGTTTTCATGGCAGCGGTTTCTCCTTGTTTTCGCGGCTCCATTGCACCCCATCGGCTCGCGCGCAAAAAATCCGCTTCGCGCGGCGGAAAATCGGCGCGCGCCTCGCGCACCCCGAAGCACTCTACGAAGAGCGGCCGCAGCTCGGGGGGGAAGAAGCCGCTGAGCGCCCACAGCGCGGCCACGGAGTCCGCCAGGTCCGGCGCCACCTCCCAGAACGACTCGCCTCAGGCGGCCGGAAAACGGGGGAAAAAAGGGGGCGCGCGGAGGCGCGTAGCTTTTTGACTCTCCGAGTGGAAATCTGAGCGGAATGTCCCTTTTTGAGGCTGGTTGAAGAAAGAAACCAATACAATGAACGCCCCTATTGGTTTCCTTCCACATCCTATGCGACAAATCCATTTGGCTGTGAATGTGAATTGGGGGCGTGGACATGTCGAGGAGTTCCAACCACTTCCGAAACGGTTCCCCAGACATATGCAGAGCCAATGGGTTTGGCCAAGAGTCGACCCTATTTTGGTTGGTGCATTGGAGTGTGCGTGTATATATACATATATCTGGAGGGCGGGTCGGCATGGGGGCTGAGTTTTTCAGATTCCTGGGGGCTGAGTTTTTCAGATTCCTGGGAGCTGAGTTTTTCAGATTCTTGGGGGCTGAGTTGTTCCATTAAAAACACTAAAATTACACCATAGACCCCAGATAGCGAAACACGTGCCACGATTGCACGCCAGCACCTGAAGAGCTCCTCAACCAACACCCCAAACAGCATCCCACAATTATTGTAGCACCTGCACAAGAATCCAAATTGCATGCTCCCTAGCACCCTGCCGTCAATCTCGCAAAAAGACATGGCCGTCACCAGGACCCCAACAACAGCACCTGCACCAGCCGTCAATCTCGCAAAACGCCACGCCTGCACCAGCGCCTCAACACCATCCGCACTATCACCCCGCACAGCACCCCCAAACAGCACCCCCAAACCACTCGACCGTCAATCTTGCAAATATGCACCCGCACCATCACCAGCACCTCATCCCAAAACAGCACCTGCGCCAGCACCCCAGACTGCATGCCCCCTAGCACCCTACCGTCAATCTTGCAAAAGTGCGCCTGCACCGTCACCTGCACACCCCCAAACAGCACCTGCACCAGCACCCAAACTGCATGCCTTATCACCTGCCGTCAATCCAAATAAAACGCACCCGTCCTATTAAGCACCCAAAACAGCACCTACACCAGCACCCCAAACTGCATGCCCCTAGCACCCAGCCGTCAATCTCGCAAATCATTTTCCCTTCTTCATTAGAAGTTAGAACCCCTATAGCTTTCGGCTATCTGGGGAAAAATAACAACAATATAAGATCAAGACCCGTGACCTCTTAGATTTATTGGGGCGCGTTTTTGTTTTTTGCTGATGACATGCAAGCACAGATTCATTTTCGATCCAATGAAGACTCAGATGCATCCAGACATGGAAAATGAGCTAGCTTCAAGCTACACAGAAGACAGCCTGTTGAGAACTATTTTGCACAAATATCATTGTTGGACACAAATATTTAGCAAACGTGTGTCTGTAGCTTATTTTTGGATAATTGGCATGCTTACGCATGCCAAGTTTATAAACCTCAGGGTGCTAATGTTTGGAAGACGTATGTTTGGCACAAATCTTCAACACAATTTGCATACGTATGCAATATTTTGGAAGACGTATGCTTAGCAATCTGCAAGCAGATATATGTTTGGGACAAATATTATTGTTGTGTTGCAATTCTGAAACACGTAAGTATGGCAAGCACAGCTTGCCACGCATATGAAATCATAAGAAACGTAAGATATCGCTGATCTATACAGCTTTCAGCTGCAAGACTCAGCTCTTTTTACAGTTGGATGTTCAATATTTCAATCTTGAGAAAAGACAGCTAACACAAACATATTTATCGCATAATGAGCTGGAGCAATTGGAGCACAGCTCCAATCTAGTTGCTTGAGCTCAAGAAGCACAAGATGCAAAGATGAGCACCTGCAACGATATCTGCAGATGCAAATAACATTCTCTGCACAAAGCTGTTCAGCTTTGGAATAAGAGCTTTGGAATAACATTCTCTGCAGCTATTCGTGTTGCTGAAGAGCTCTTGCAACAGCAAAGCTGTTCAGAATAGATTCAAGTAGGCACAAGCCACAAGCAATTGCTTGTGATGAGATGTTACCTGCAGAAGATGAAATGAAAAATAAAATTATCTCCAGTTACCTGGAGTTACCGGCAGGATATCTTGGAAGAGGCTTATGTTCTGTTGATACACATCTCATCATATTATTGATGTCTTGCATCAAGAAAGCATCAACAAAGTATTGTCTTCAAATGATGGGCTGTGTGTTTTGTTTTTTTTTGTTTTTTTTTGCTGAAAAAAACTCAGCCCCCAGGAATCTGAAAAACTCAGCCCCCAGGAATCTGAAAAAACTCAGCCCCCATGACGACCCCTTCTGTGTATATATATATATATATGTGTGTGTGTGTGTGTGTGCAATCAAAGGGCATCCTTGCCATAGCGGACCTGAAATGGCTGGGGAACTTCAACTTTGAGCTTGCTAAACGTGCAAACTTTCTCAATTAGTCTCCATCCCAATGGAACCTGGAAGAAAAGGCCCGAAGCTCACAGGAAACAAACAATGTCTTTGGCTCGAGCAAATGTAGACAACTAACTATCACAGGATAATAATGCATGTGCATAAAAACATGTTGCATGAGTTGCATGTGCTGTGATGGTTGACAGGTGAACGGGTATGTTCAACAGGCGTGGGTGCGTGTGGGTGCGTGTCTAGTCGTAAGCATTCATATATGTTTGTCCCGGTGTCTTAGCTTGAGCGTGAGCTCATAAGCTCCAAGCCGACAAAACGCCTCGTGCGCTACCCCAGCCAAGCCGCACACTGAAATCCTTCTGAAGAGAGCGCCGTCGTGGAACCGCGCCACCTGAGATCCCATGCATGCAGTTGTTTGGCCCCGCCTTCTCCAGCCTTCTAAGCGCAAATTCTGGCACGGCTGGCCAGGGCGGTCCAATCGATTCACCGAATGCGTCGGTGAAGGAAGCAACTGGCAACTGGCATTTCACAATGCCCCCCAATCTGATTGCTAAAATCGTTTGTTTTTTGATACCAAAAAGCTGTTTGTTTTTGTTTAATGGTCACCTAGGAAGCAGGGACGCTTCAAACACCCCCCCCCCCCGCCTCGAGCATCGAGCCCGCGCCGGGCAGCGGCACTAAGATCGCCTCCACCGGCGAGAAGGGCCTCAACGCCTCGCACCAAAGGCCACCAATCCAACCACTAAAATAGGCTCCAAACTGGGTAGTGAATTCACCTACCAACCAACATGGGATGCCATTGGCTTTGACAACCACTGCCAAGTAAGTGCATCCATCTTTGCCTTTCTCAGACCAAGGCGAAGGCGCCTGGCGCTCCTGGCCCTCCAGCGTGGACATGCCTGCGAATGGCCCATGCAACGCCTGCTGAATGAAGCTGTGAGTCTTCCTTTTCGCTGGGCTCGTCAAAGTAACCCATTCGCTTGCGGTTTGGCCATTCTTTGGTGCCAGGAACTATAGCTTCCGTTTTGGCCATTCTTTGGTGCCAAAGCCCGGGCAGCCATAAAAACATCTGTCAAGATGCTTGCAAATCTTGGAACCCGGTTGGTATGTATCGAAATCGGAGAGCCCGGACACAACGGTTTACCGCGGTCAGAGATACAACTTGCAAAACGTCACACCCTCAGTGGAAGCTTCTGCAGTCCCCAGGCACCACAGAATCAAGTTGGCAAAAACAAGTGCGCTACATATTGACCTGATAGACTTCCCTGCGGCGGAGGCGACCGGACACGGACAGCCAACCAGAGACTGGAATGATGCGTTCACGTCAGGCATTTGGCTACAAATCGGCTTTCAAGCACCAAGTGCCAAGCCCTCTTTCTTCGGGAAATAACTTGCCGACATATGGCGTAGCGTCGTTGAGCCGCAAATATATGTTCGTAACAAGCTAGATATTCCCTTACATATATTGCATGCACAATGTGTTGCAAACCGATGCCGATGCAGCTTCAGAAGGCGCATGCTATGTAAACATACTATCAATATGTGTATGCATGTGTGTGTGCACGTGGTGTGCATGTGGGTGCACATGGTGGGGAAGAAGCCAGCCCCTATGCAAGTAAACCAAGCCGTACAAAGAACAAGGCTGGTGCTTGCAGGGTCATACTGAGAGAGTTTGACATTGACCCAGCTGTCATCAGGAAGAGAGCAGCTACCCCCCCCAAAGCCACCCCCCCCAAATGAATAAGCACCAACCCTGCGCAGCCAAGCACGGTGAAGGGGAATAAGCCTTATTAAGCCTTAATAAGCCTTATTAAGCCTTATTAAGCCTTATTAAGCCTTAATAAGCCTTATTTACTGGTTATCGAATGTGGCTTAATAAGGCTTAATAAGGCTTAATAAAGCCCAAACAAGCCCTGCCATTTCGGCAGCCTAAAGGCCATGGTCACACCGCAACTCTTCTGCATGTGTAGCGCCATTTAGAGGCCCCCTCTTTTCAAAAGGGGCGAGAGCAGGCGCGGTCCCAAAAGAGGGTCCCGGGGTGCGTGGTCAAGCCTTATTTTTTTGGGGGGGGGAGCTTCAAAATTGCGCTATTTGCACAATTCTGGAGCTCCCCCCCCCAAAAAAATAGCACGATTTACAGGAGCCCCAAAAAAGTGCTGAAACAGGGACCGAAAAGAAACCCTGAAGCCTGTGCGGCGCGTGCCCGGAACACGTGTCATCTCACTCTCTCATGATTCCTGAAACCTCAGTCAGTTGAGAAGGAGCGTCTAGCCCTTATTCTTTTGGGGGGGGTAGCTTTGGGGGGGGTAGCTCATCACTACCTGATGTCAAGCACGTGCAGCCAGACTTTTTGTCCCTTGGCTCACGCCGTGCCTTTGTAGATGAAGATCAGCGCATCCCAAATTTGGTCCAGGAAATCAGTAGCACCTCGCTGGTGCCACGTGCTGCAACAACGGAGCTAGCTAATGCGTCACGTGCCAGCTATGCGATTCTTTGTTTGCATGGGCGGCCCTTGGAATACTTTCACTAGGTTCATTGAAATCGCCCCTCATATGCTAGGCTGGCTACATGAAGGAGGCGGGCATAGCCGTTTCACCGTGCACATGGCGTCGCGGCATACTGTGCCAACTAAGGATTCCATCTGCATCTCTAGACATTTCCAGAGCGCGCAAGGTCCATCGAATATTCCATGCATTCTTGTGCCCCTGCGACTCGGTCTTCGCGGGCCAAACCATGCTCCATCTGTCAGCCCGGTTGGGTGTGTCTTCTGTTGAGTACCGCTTGTTGTGTCAAAGGGGCAAAAGAACAAGCCAACAGCGATCGCCCCGAGAAAGTCCAATGATCCAAGGAGCTGATCTTGCCCCCAGGCTGCGCCATCGAAGGCAACGGCACCTTGGCAGCAAAGCGCCCTGCCGGCCTGCCGGCATGATTTTCCGTTCTGAGCTACAAGAAAGCACGGTCACTGGCCAGCTCGCACATGCAGCTTCTCATACCGATTTCCCGATGTCCGAGCGCAATCCAAGCAGCCATCGCCATCTCGGGGTTCCCTTCGGCACGGCGCCAAGCCTTGCCAAACTCCTGGCAAGCTGATTGAAGCGTGCAACAAAAGGCGCTTGCCCTGACAAGCTCTTGCTTGGGCCGCAAGGATACCAACCGAATGCCGGTTTTTCTGGCATGGGCTTCACACTAGATCGGCCACGCAACGGTACAACAGGCCGATAAGCATCCTTGAATTTGGCAACGCGACATGTCGCAATATGGTGCCTTTCCAGGACAGCGCCGTGCAGCACCCTGTTCAATGATTCGAGTCGCCCTTTCAATGAACGCTACTATGCAAACCAATTCCTTGTATGTGGGCAGCAGTCGAATTAGAGTTCAGCAAGTTACATACTTGTCGCCGAACTGACCGCAATGGCCAACAAACGGCACGACGACGACGCTGAGGCAAGATTCTCCAGACAAGTATTACGAAATCATGTTCATTTTTCTCACAGGATAGGTGGTAGCTTTTCAGGCAGCAACCCAAAAAATGCGCGTTGCGCACGGTGCTGTCGCAGGGTGATGTTGCCAGCAACGGCTGGGAGTGTCACTGGGAGTTGCGCAGGGTGCTCGTGTTGACAGCCCCTGCTGCTTGAAGATAGTGACGGAAAGTTGCGCAGCACCCTGCCAAGAGAACAACGGCAATCTATTTCTATAGTTTTCAGCTATCTGGCCAAAACAGATCCAGGAACAACCTCCCAGGGCTGCCATTGCGCTGTTTGAATAGCGTGCCTCCGCTGCGTTCATGAGGTTGGACCGCATTCGCAGGTAGCACTCTGCAGTGTGGGGCTGACCAGGCACACCGCGGCGCTCGAAGTAGCGCTTCATCTGAACCTGGCAACGTTGCAGCCTGCGCCTGGTTCTCTTGCTGCATGTCGCGCTAGCTTGGCTAAACATCTGAGACAAAGGTCAAACCCGGGAGTGTGAGAACGAGGCAGGGAAGCGCCAAGGTTGCCAGCGAAGCCAGGACTCACAAGGGGCATTCCCGCACTTCGGAAAACTAAGCAACAAGCATCGCCGAAGGAAGCGTAGATGTCGCTGAGAACTGTGAGGTGGCAGCACCTCCGCACTCCCCCGATTTCACAATGCCAATGATGCACAGCTGCACTTCAAACTAACTCCTGGCCACAAAAATCCAAATTATGTTGCCCATCTAGACCCTTTCAACATGGCCCCGCCCAAACAGCGGCCATCTTCACAACCTCCAACATGCTCCGCCGGCTACACGGCAACGAGCCAGCAAACCATAGCCTGCAGCCTGCAACCCCACTAACAGCCAGGGAACTCGAACCTTTTAACACCGTCCCAAACTGCACTGCGCAAACATTTATTCACACGGAGAACCTGCTGGCCGGGCACTTTGTCAATACCTCATTCTTTGGCAGCTCCCAAACGCAGTCATCCGCTCGCATCGGCTCCTTGACGGCCTGATCAGGGCAGCTTGCAAGTAGAGAAATGATTGCGGCACTGCGGGGACTATTGGTCAAAGCTAGAAGTAAATGTTACATGTCCTTGCGCCCCTCGACAAGTAGAATGCCTGGGGCTGCATCCAGATGAATTGTGTCGCGCAGAGGTGACAATACAAACCTAACACAACTCGGGGGCGCACCAAGCAATGACGCCTTCCACTGCTCCCACTCCGCTCCCTCAGAATGAGTCCCAATGCTGCAGGCTGCCTGCTCTGCGGGCTTTGGGCCTTTCGGCTCTCAGCTCCTACTGCCCAGCCGGCCGCGACCGCTTGTGGCCCAGACTCAGTGCCCAGCATCCCGTGGCCAGCTCCCGAGCCCAGTCCACATTCCGCCACCTCACTGGCCGGCCCCCGCTCGAGTTCCAATTCCTGGCTCTTCCCCTGCTGCCCGCCAGACTGCTCGGCATCATGTGCTCAAGCCCGCATTGCTCTTCGGGTTGTTTTGAGCCGGGCCGAGGCAGGTAGCGCGCAGCGTTTAAAAATGCATTTTAAAAAATATGAGGAACAACTCTGAGGCTAAGGGGCTGGAAATCTTTAGCCGAAGTGGCTGGATCGAAGATGCACTCCCGCAGGGCTGCCTCCACATCCTCCCCGTGGGCCGCTCCTGAAGCTGTTCCAAATGGACCCTATTGGCACCAAATCCTTGCGACAATCCACCAGGATCAAGGATTGCCTTTGAACAGCCCAGTCAGGACTTATTCTCCAGGTGTGGCTGAAAGAGTTCTGGAAACACACTAGGTTCACCAGCAATAATGAAGCAGGGAGCTTCGTTCAGTGGCTTTGGCGGAGACAATGACACGTCACGAAAAGTTGGACTTTGAACTGAAATCCATCCACACAGCATTCCCGGATCAGCGTACGTAGATCATGAACGGTTCCCCCTTTGCCGGCGACATGCCAGGCTGCTGCCAAATTTTGCCATCGGAAGCACGGCTCTGGGGTCCAACGCGGGTCCTGCCGCGCCGGTGGTTTCCAAAGTGTCGATGTTCAGGTAGAGCCGGGCAAAATGCGAGGCTGAGCGGCACTGGCCTCCGGCACGTGGCAACCCCCCCCCCCCCCAAATTGCGGCGTGCGCGAGCTAACTCCTAACCCTCCCTAGGTTCAAACTGAAGTTGGCTTCGGAAAGATAATATGGTAAACTGTGGTTGATCTCTTCATGTTCGTGAAAGCTAGCCGTGCCGAACGGACTGCGTTCGGGACACTTTTGCGAAATCCGCATAGACAAGTGTGGCCCCTTCAACTGTTCAAGCAACCCGCCCACTCACCCATCCAGACCGACCAACGCACCATCCGACTAACGACGAACAAACTCGCTAGCCGACCCAGACCTGACCAAGTCCAACTCTCCAACAATCTAAGCATGCGCTCGTTGAGACGGAAGCCCTCTCAAACTCTCTCAAAGGCCGGATCCCTTGTTCTAGAGAGGCTCCTTGTTAGGATGAGAAGGTGAAACCGAGCCAACTCACAAAACTGATGAAGCAACTCGGCCTTGCATTGCTTGCCAGCTCGGCCGTTGCCATCAAGCCATGCCAATCAACTGGTTGCCCGACGCACTCAATGATCGGAGCGGCTTTGGGAACCGGTAGTGCCTTGATGCTTTACGGTTTTATTAGAGGGCTCAACATGCATCCGTGCCTTTTTGCGCTCGGGCTCTTCCAATCCTTTGTGATAGCTTGCAATGTGGGTTGGTCACGCACAACTCGAAAGCGACATGGTCTGCCCCAGCCTCGCAGAAGGGCTTGCAGCGCGGCACTGAGACCCTCCACATCCAGCCGTGCCTGGCAGGGTGAGCGTTGACTTGCTTGGGGCAGAAAAACTCGTCTAAACCAATGGAACCCATTTATTTCTCATGGAGTAAACCCCTCTGGACCAGCGGAACCCATCTATTTCTAAGCAAACCCGATCAAAAGGACACCTGTGCCAAACCAGCCTCCAGCCTCCCAGCCCCCCAGCCCCCCAGGCCCTAGCGCCCAGCGCCGCCAGCCGCTTCTGCAGCTCAGCGCCGCGGCCGGCAGCACCCAGCTGGGGCAGGTCTAGGTAGAGCCCGTTCCTCAGCCGCTTTCAAGGAGCGCGGGAAACGGGGCCTGGACAAATGGGGGGGGGGATACACAAAAAGTACCCATCTTTCGCTTGGGTAAGTATTGACCCCGAACTAGTTAGCAAATGGTCTGTCTTCAACAGACCAAAATGGCGCGGGGGAGCCCTTGCAACCAAGCCCAAATCGGGGCCAGATGCCGGCCCGAGCCAGGCCTCGTATTTGGCAGTGCCCAAACCGGCCTTGCAAATGGGTGGGCCTGTTTTTTCGTGGGTCCGCTTGGGAGGTTGGCTTGGGAAGCCAACGTCACACCATCCGCGGGGTCCACAAGACACACCCCAACCCATCGCCGAGCTTCAAGGCTGCACCTGCCACTGGCCAGTACACCTAGACGCTCGGTGACCACATGAGCCATGGTCATTGGCCATGGTTCCCTGAATGGTAATCATTGCTGCGGATGGACGAAATCCTGCACCACCTAAGAAACCCTGGACTGATGCTTCCCTTGTAAATACCATCCAACAGTGGTTTCCCATGGATTCAAAGTAGTGCAGGATTTCGTCCACCCACAGTATGATGGTCATTCTTTCAGATCCCTACTGACGATCCCTAACCCCAAGTCAAGGAACCGGTCTTTTGACCAGGGCACACATCAAATGGCTGGCGAGCGGTCCGCACCCACTGACCAAAAGGCAAATGGCAATTTGCGTCAGCTGTTTGTTCTCTTTTCAGAAGTGGGAACGAAATCATGGAACAAACTAGCCCACCTTTGGATGCACACGTCAGAAAACGGCCAATTGGCTGCAACAAGTCGAAGCAGGTCTTCCAAAAAAAGGCTGACAAAACGAAGAGTCGAATCGAAATGCAGTTGGCATGTGCAGCTGGCAACGTCTCTTTGTCAAGTGCCATTTGCCAGCTGCAATGACAAAGCCCAAGGATCAATGCTGGGCCTACAGGTTCTGTTGCATGAAGCATCAGCCAAGTCGCAGAATGCCTTAGCTGCAACGAGCAGAATCAAAAGAACGAGCTGACCTTGAGCCATCGCAAACCTTGCGAATTACCAAGTTTGCCAACCTATGATTGAGGAAACCTGCCGGCAGCAACCATTTGTCTACAGCCTTGAATGCATTGCCAAGGCAACCAAAAGACGTTGACGCGTGCTGTCCCACGTCCGCATGCGTTCCCCGGTGACCAGTTTTCGGGCGTCATTCTTGGATGGTGTCCAACGCAGGCCGATTGTTACTTCCAGATAAGTACTCGCCAAACCAAGGAGAGGCAAAAACGGTTGTTGTCCTTCTGGTCTCTCTTCAACGGCTGCAAAGGGTACCAAATCCCAAACACTTTTCGGGGAAGGGAAGCCACAAGGCCGACCTCGAACCCCATTTTTGGCAGTCCACAAATCGTCCGAATCCATGCCCTCCCTTCCACTTTCATAGCACCTGTGGCGAGCCCAGAACACATCATTCTCCCCTTGCAGAGACTCTTTTGACATGGCGATGTGGGAGTGAGGGCGTTTGGCCCAAACCCATACCGCAGGGGATACCCAGGACCCATACCCCCATGGCAGCCCAAACCCATACCCGGTGATAGGACCCATACCCCAAGAGACCCATAGGCCCCCTGACCCACGCCACACCCAGCCATTACCCCGCGACCAAGGGGCAGGAAGAGCTCTCGGAGCTTCAGCGTGGCCCTGGCCGGCAGCTCCGCCAGCCAGGCCCTGTCCGCCGAATGCTCCAGGCGACCCACGGCGTAGCCTCGCGGGCTCGCGGGGCTGGGCTTTTGGGAGGTACCCTCTTCACGCTGATTTCAGGGAAACCGAAAAAAACAAGAAAAAAACTACCCTCCCTGGAATTAAACAGGAAGTCCGTGCTCTCAGAAGTCCCTCTAACATGGAAGTCCCTTCACCGTCTTTTCCTGCGGCCAGGTGCCCCTCGCCACGGCAATCCTGGGGTTTCCCAAAACAACCCTAGATTCTTCGGGGGGCCGGTTTCGAGCCTGCACTTCCATGTAAACGAAAAAACGGGAGTGAAAACACACGCTCTGACCGACGAAAGTATCCTAACATAGAACCTGAAAATGGGCCCTGCACTTCCATGTAAAGGAGAACACGTGTGCTTAACATGGAAGTGCAGGCTCGTCGTTTGCCCTATTGTTTTTCGGGGGTCAATAGGGAAACTATGATTCTGTTAGGAGCAGTTTCGCATATCCCTGAGAAAAGTCGTGAAGCGGCGAAAGTCGTGAAGCGGCATTTCCCCGGTACGCTTTAAATTACGGTGTGTCCGCCCGCTAATGCTAAAAAATGCTGTTTCCGAGTCAATCCCACCCCCACATGCCCAGTCGTACGGCGTACCTAGGTGGGGTTCTGGGCTAGTTCTGGAAGGGGTGTGCGGGGAGCTCGGTTTGTGTTAGGGGGGGGGCGGGGGGAGGGTTTTTGAGGGTTTGAGGGAGCCGTTGCCCAAACCATCGTCGGAAGTCAGCTGCGTGTTCTGAAATGCGGAAGCCGACCAAAAAACCCCATTCAAGGACTTCTATGTAAGCATTATCAAAAGCCTGGTTTTTTCGACTAACCTGCAAAAAAAAAAAGGCTTCGGAGCTTCCTGTTTAATTCCAGGGAGTGTAATCTATTTTAGGGCCCATCATGTGTGAACTGCTTGGAAAGCAAAAGAGAAACCAAAACACATTTTAGCGACTACCCATGCGAGAACTGACCATCATTTGGATGTTTGGGTTCCGGCTCACGTGGTGGAATACAAGTGCCCTATGAGGAACCTTCCACGAGCCAAGCAATGTAGCAGCCAAGTCTCGGAAAACCGCGTCCGGCACAGCCTCAGCCACTCACAGCGCCATTTGAGAGGCCCTTGGAACAATGCTACGAAGACTTGCAACAAGATGTGCTTCATTAAATTTCATTGGCAAACGCACACACACACACACACTCAGAAACACTCAGAAACACACACGCGCACTCGCAAACCGCACACGCATATGCATGTGGAGATATATACGTACATGCATCTATATATGTATGCATACATCCCAAATGCTGGGCGGATGGCCACTTTTGATCCCCCGGGCCACATTCCACACCGGCCCAACAGCCAGTTCAGCCCGGCCTTCTCATCCAGCAGCGACACCCACAGGCTGCGCGGCCCATCGCTGCCTTGGCACGAAGGCCTGGGCCATGGCCCTTATCACTAAAGCACCCCTCGGAATCCAGTGACGGGCCAACCCCTCCCTGGAGGGAGTCTGGGGGAGAGGGGCGGGTGTTGCTCCCAATTCTCACAAGGCCTCCCTCGGCAGTGGTGAGAGGACGGTTGCTACAAGCACTGTCTCTTCTCCTGCTGGAGATATGTCTGCCACCCTCGTGTTTCCAGACATGACTGCAACAGAAAGAGCCCTGCAGCTTAACCTTACTCACCGAACAGATAATAATAGTTTGTCCAGTCAAGCATAGCAGGCGAGCAGGAAAGCGCTCGCTTATTGACCCTCGGGCCGTTTCGCTGACCCATCCCCTCATACAAACCAGCCCCCGGAGTTTCCACCGAAAATCCGCCAAGCCCAAGCACTCACCAAACACAAAACACCAGGGTGTTCTGCAGAACTTCGGGTGCCTGGTTCCTGGGGTGGTTGGCTAGATCCTCCAGTAGAGAGCTTAGAATAAGGGTACCAACTTTTTTCTGTAGTCTATTTTAGTAGGGGAACCCTCCCCCCAAAAACGGGTAAAAGGGCACTACTGGGGGACCTAGTGGGATATTTCTTCAGCCAACGTTGCCCAGCTCCTGGCCCAGGCTGAAGACCAGATCCGGGCTGGCCCTCTCCTGCCGCCAGTCCGCGGGGCGCCGCGGCTGCGCCCCTGACATCAACCCAACGAGAAGAAGCCACCAGCCCAGGCATCCCACAAATGGGTGTGGGTCAAAAACAGGTGCCCAAACTGGAACCAAGGAAAATGGAAACAAGGACTACAACCTGCCATTCCCTACAAGGACCAAAACCTGCCTTACAACAGTCGAAGCTGCTTGACAAACCCCAAAGAAGGTCCCTCAAAAGCAACCGGCCGTCGAGAATCTGGCAATAGCTCTCGTGGTGGCGGAAAAGCTTCGTGGCCTTGGCTTTTAGGGTAGCCACATCAAGTATCCAAACGAGCTTCCATGACGTTGGCCTGTTTGGAAAGAAAGCGAGCGGGCCATGAGAAAGGGAATCGGGGTTTCAACACAGAAGGGGGGGCCTCCCAACCGCCCAGCCCAAGCCCCAAGGTACCAAAATACAAGCAGAAAGCACTGCTCGTGGGCAAGTTTTTTGCGCGAAGTGAAACCCCGCTTGCAAGTGCCATTGTGACGGCATTTTGGAAATACACCAGATGCCAAAGTAGATGACACAGAGGGGGAGAAAAAAAGAAGAAGAAAAAAAACTGGCCCCCCACCCTCAGGCCTAGGCAGTCCACAAAGAAGGCCTCCCAGCGCAGCGCCTGTGATTTCTCGCAAACGGGCGCTCGTGTGGATTTATTCGGCTGGCTCAAAGGGAAGCCACAAGGAGGACCAATCATGTGGGGGTCCGATTCCCTATTTTGCGTCATACCCATACTACCAACAAAACAAGTTGCAACCAAATCATGCCTATCAGCGACTGCTGAGGAGGCAAAAAAAGGGCTGCAAGGATCACGAAGGAGAGTAGGGGACCAAACTTCCAATGGCGGTTCCAATGCATTGCGCTATCCCACCCGACGGCAAAGCCTGTTGCCCTGAAGCAAAATGTGGCGTCGCTGTAGTCTAGTCTTTTCAGGCCCGCGTGGACTGCACATGCATCAAGCCTGCTTTGCGGAAGAAGAAAGCGGCACTGGCCTTGTAAACAACACTTCAAACGCAGGTCAACAACTGACCTGGTGACAAAGCACTTGCCAACTTGTGTCGGTGCAAGGGCTTGCGTGCCTGCTTTGTCCCTAATTGAGTGATGACAGAATAAGTCAGTGATCGGACATCTAGCATAGCAATTGCATCACCAAGCTGTGATGAAACTACCATCGGCACACAACCAAGCAATCACAAGTGCCAGCTGCAGGCCTGATCTGTTTGGCGATTGCCTGCGCAAAACATTTAGCATCTGTCTATTCGCAGGCTTGTGAGCCGTTTGCCACAACAAGCATGCTTAAATGTAGCCGGAGGGAAAGCGCACATTTCTGAAAAAAAAAAAACAAAGGTTGAAGATCCAACATATCCAAATATATCCAACCATAGCACTGAAATGGAGCTGCGGCTCCTTCCCCCCTGCCTCCAACTTCCGCTGCTGCCCATCCTGGCCCTCAGCCAGCGGCCAGGTCTGCAAGTTGGGCGAGGGCCTCTGGTCAAGCGGGCCAAGGCACCCAGCATCTGCCACCCCAACAGACCGCGTCCGAACAAAAAAACGACTGTCACACCTGCCCTAACCTGTGTTTTCACATTTTCACGTATGTCCTGTGGCCCGAAAGCTTCTCTGCCCCGCCCTGGCCGTGTTGCTTAACCTCAAGAGGCCCAAATGGCCACGAATGCTATGAGCCGATCCGAAACATGGCACCAAATGACTGCCGCGCGGAGAAAAAGAAGAAGAGAAAAACTAGCAAACATGCTACGCACCGCGTCATTTGCGACAAAAAAAAAAACTATCCGGGCAACATGCGCTGGCATCTGCGACCCAAACCCGCGTGATCTGCGACCCTAAAATGCGGGTTCTTAGGGCAAGGGACCTAAAACGTTTCAGGGCCACAAGTGCAGCGTGTGCGCCGTGATTGTGTTTTGGGTGCCACGTATTGAATTATCGAATGCTTCGTGGGCAGCTGCCGTTGCAGTTGGCCAAACATCTGGCAGAGCTCTTGCCTCTTGCGCTCCGTTTCAACACAGGCCACAGGCCCAAAAGGGTCCTCTTTTTTTTTCTCTCTCTCTCTCTCTCTCTCTCGCTCTCTCGCTCTCTCTGCCGTTGCGCCTGGTGCCCTCAAGAACAGACAAGGACTGCAAGCCGCAGACGTCAAGCCCAAAAGGGTTGTGCATAGGGTGGGCTTGTCCTGAAAAAGCAAATGCTTGCTGGGGTCGATCATCTTTTGGGTTCGAACCACTAAACAAGAAGGGATTTACCTGGACCTTCGTCCTCCTGAAGAAAAGAACGTAACTGGATATTCGGGAAATCGTAGCACTGTGTGCCGCAAAAAACTGAAACTCCTGAAACTCCCAGAAAACGCACTCCTCACGGCCTTGGACGAATTAGAGGAAGCTTCGCAGGGGTAAACCTTAATGCTTGAGGGCACCATTCTGTTCTGTGGTTTTGGCTGGGGTTTCCCAACAGGACAACGGCCCAAAAAAAAGAACGGGGGGGGGGGGGCCCTTAAAAACGACAACCCCATTTGGGAGGGAGGGGAGGGAGGGGTCTTAAAAACGACCCCCACCTGTTGCCGTTTTTTCGGGGGCGATGGTTTTCCCGGCCTCGCGGCGCTGAGCCCGAGAAAGGCCTCGATGCGCTCCACGAGGTCCTAAGGCCCAGCGGCGCTTTGAGGCGTCCCCGGACCAAAGGGGCATCCATGTTTGGAGAAACACTGATGCGGGGGGGGGGGGGGCATTTGGGGAGGGGGGGGAGTTCCATACGAGTCAAAAGGGCGTTGGGGTCACAGGGCGGAACCAAGGTCGGCATCCGAAACTCTGGCGGCGTCCTTCTGCAAATTCACAATGATCCCAAAACCTGAATCCTGATCCACTACATGGTGGTGCCATATAGGCGCCAAAGACATAAAATGGGCAGGTTTAGTTTGCCCCTACTTTTCGGGCAGCTATGGGTCGCTTTTGAGTTGTGGCCACGCTGCTAGCCATCACGCCGGCTAAGCAAGCCAACCTGGTTGCATTCTGGCAACCTGCATGGATAAGCCCATGGGCCCACGATTTGCTCGCCAAAGAGCAAGCATGAACAAACGATTCCCTCAATATTGTGCGCTGAAGTTTTCATCCTTGACTTGCCGATGCGCCTGCCAATGTCGCCAAACTTTGGAGAACAAAGACACATTTTGACCTGTGCCCACCACAATCCTTGACAAAGTGCTCCATGCCATTCTGAGCCCTGTCGTTCGACGCATCGCCAAGCATTGCAGGCCATGCAGCTAGTGCATGCCTCTCTTTCCTGGTGTTCAAAGGGCCCGCCTCCCTGCGCTCAGTCCAAGCAGCGGATGGCAGTTGCCGCAAGTGACCAAGCACTGACCTGGAGCACACGGCCTGGACCTGCCCTTTGCCTCGGCCATTCAACTTACCCAAGGCCGCATATCCCAGATCGGCTTATCGGGCAAAGCTTGACTCGCTCTGGGACGTGGGAGGGGGGCGTTCCTTTCTGGGGGAATTTGAACCGCCCCCACTTTGATGCTCCAGCAACATCCGGATACTCGGAGGTTCCTTTTTCCTTCACATGGCTGTGGAGCAAATTCGGTACCGCAAATAGGGGGAACCCTAGTAAGTGGAAAAACATGGACCAAAACCTGCGGTCCCCTGCTGGTGTAATTTTGACCCATTCCCACATGGCGATTCACGGCCATCGACCCCCTCCCGGGTTCTTCACGTCCGCGGCGCGGGCAGCGCAGCGTGGGCGGCGGCTGCAGCTTCTCGGCCGGGGCCAGCAGCAACGCGCCCAGCCCCTGGATCGGCCGATCGGCCGGTCGCGTCGCAAGCTGTCCCGAGCTGAGCTTCCCGGGTTCTCTGACTAGGTAGTCCAGTGAGGTCAGAATAAGGGTCCCAACTTGTTTCTCTAGTCTATTTTAGTAGGGCAACCCTCCCAAAAAAAGGGTAAAAAAGCACTACTGGGGGACCGCCAGAAACAGTCAACAATGGCTTTCCGGTGAGGGTCAAGCGGTGCGACCACCAAAACTGCGGATGAGCGGTTGGGGCAGTTGCTGGTCACTCATGGAGACAAGTTTATATGCACGTCTATGTAACAAAACAGGCGTATCGGTTCAGTTCGAGATCCTCTTGGGGGCCTGGGCAGCGTCCCCACCAAAGAAATGGACCACCAGAACCTGCGCCAAAAAGCGGCCACAGCCACAATGTTGCTGGAATTCTGCTCGCCCTTTGGATGCGTCATATTTAGCAACCCTCATGAATCGTTGGGGGCAGCTTCGCTAACCCCCAACCCAAGCCCAGCTCCCACGGGCGCCTGTCCAGCCATGAGCTTTTTGGCCTCCTCCAAGCTGCCGCAGCTGCCGAGGCTCACTAGGGCCTGCCGCACCGCCGCAAGGCCTGGCCACTACATCTACTCCGGGCAGAAATGTCCACAATAATTATTGACAATTATGCAAATTAAAAATATCCACTACATCTACTCCAATTATTTTTCCGATAATTGACACTCTCTGCTTGTCAATAGTAGATGGCACTCCCCCCTGATTTCTTGAGCCATCTACTCTCAAATCAGAGTAAGCATGCAGTGATTTTAGTTGGATTTCCCCTCCTCGCTCGGAAGTGTCGACGTCACCAAGAATTTGGGCCATTGACATGTTCATCTATGGGGTGGGCCAGGCTTGTGCTCTAGGGGCTGTTGGCAAAGGCTTGCCTGAGGCCACTCCAGGCATCTCTCCTCCCGCCTCGTATCTCCTTTTCTGTCTCGGGCTCGGCCCATAGATCCCTCAGCACCGCCAGGGCCTGGGCCGACAACAACGCCACCCACTTGTTGCAGGTTTTTTGGGGTCATCCGAAACCTCCTTTTGACCAGAAGACGGGTCAAACATTACAAGTACCCCTGAGGCGTCCGGCCGCCCAGCAGGAGAATGCCAGTGGCGCAGCCTCCGCCTTGGCTCAAGTTGGCCCGCCGCTTTCCTTTCTGCGTGTTCCGGCTATGGACGATGGGTGCGATGGAAACTGTGCAGCACCGAAGCAAGCTGGCAGCTTTCCAGGAAACCAATCTGAAAACCCGCACTTTGCATGGGGTTTTTGCACGCTCAGAAGGAGACATGTCAGGCTTGGGATTGTCCCTTAGCCAGAGGTGGCCTTTCGGAAAAGACATCAATGGCACTGGCAAATCGGGCATAAAACCCATCTAAACCAGTGGAACCCATCAATTTCCAGCCAACTTCATCAAGCAGAAGCACACCTGTGCTACCCCAGCCCCCTCCCCCCCCACACCACCCCCCCCAACAGCCCCTTGAGCAAAGCGCCCCGGGCTGGAGCCGCAGCAGCCGCTGCAGCGCCGCCTCCGCGAGCTGCGCCCGGCTGGGCGCCTCCACACCCAGCGACGCCAGCCTCGCTCAAGGAGGGAGGGGGGGAGGGGAGAGGGGGTGGGGGGCAGGGGGGGAGGGGGGGCAATGGCCAGGGATCCAAATGGTGGTGTCTTCCTGTTGGCCCCTTTAAGCATTAAGCAAAGGCGAAAAGGGTACCTCTTCCGTTTGGCCCCCCCTTTAAACATTGAGCAAAGGCAAGGGCTTCTTTTGATTTTTGGCCCCCTGAATTATGAAGAAAAGGCGAAAAGGCTACCCTCAAACAGACGTAAACCCAGATTGCCCTGGCCTCATGATTTTCCCCTTATCAAAGTCACCCCTAAGGTGACGGGTTGAAGGAAACAACCCCAGTGTCTGACTTTGATAACCCCAACCGTCAAAACAATGACGCCAGTTGCCCCTTCCCCTGTCCAAGCGGCAACTGCGCTCCCAAGCTATCCAGGCCGGAGCTCACAGCTGGAGGCCTTGGAGGCACGGCTGCCCGCGCGGATACGAGGGCACAAACCCATCAGAAGAGGAGGAAGTGGTTGTCAAATGGAAGGATTGAAATGGCTTGACCCACGGCCAAACGGGTGCATTCCTTTGGGCCATCGCAGGCTCGCAACTGAGGAAAATCATGCAAGCAGTCAATGGTTGCCAATTCGCCATGACTTCGTTGCCAGAGAACAAAACCTTGGCGCTGTCGGGCCGCAGACTCGCCAAACACCACAACCGATCACGGGTGACGCGCCAAGCTCCAAGGCAGCTAGCAGCTAAGCGGAAAAGCTGCTGTCAACCCGCGTAAGGGCCAAGCAGAAGCCGCAGGGCGCCACTTTCGCCCAGTGCCAGCTGCCAGGTCTCCTGGGAAGGGGCTCAAAGGGCCCCTTGAGGCGCCCCAAGGCCTGAGAAGAATCCAACTGACAGCTGGCCGAGTCCATGCAGAGCAATCAATTTCAGACACTCGGCGCCCTTTGGTGCAGATAGCATGAAGCCGCGCTCCGTGAGGGCGCTGCAAATGCCCAGGAAGATCGGGCCCTCTTCCAGCTTTGCGCAGGGCCTGACGGCTTTTTCGCATCAGCCCATCTGACCGGCTTCTCACTGCCTGAGTTGATGGGCCAAAAAAGTTCAAACTTTCTGTTTACCACTAAACTAGTCTTCCCAAAAAGTTGAAAGTCCAGGAATTCAGGGAGTGAGGCTTTGACTCGCCATCCGGCCCCTGCCTCTCGCTCTGCCCCTTTGACAGCAGCGGAAAGAGCGGCAGCGAGGGCAGCTGCAGCAGCAGCTCGGAGGTCTGCGCCTGCGTCAGCCCACCACCGCCGAACACTCTGAAGAGGGGGCCTGAGGCAGTGGTCTAAACCGGGCTCTTTCTCGGTTGCATTGCTGCCAAGTTCTTTCGTGTCATTGACATGGCTCAGATTGCCTGGCCTCGCTGCTCTCGTCCCCGGGCCGCATGATGAAGCCCAGCAAATTGTACCTGCTTTGCGGAAAGGTGAGCAAACAACGCGCATCGATGCCCCCAAGCACCTCACCCCAGCTAGCTGCGACTCGAAAAACGTTTGAGCGAACCTTCTTGGTATTATAACTCTAGAATCAAACATTCCAGCAACTCGCAACCAACAAAATGAAGCCTGCGTCGAAACACGATCCGGACCAGCAGCCCCCCATTCACCTCGGCATTGACCCAAGGAAGTATCCTAAACGCACCGCTTGGGGTCACAGTGCCGCGATGCGCCGGCCACTAGGCACATCTTCAGCCCATGTGGCCGCAACCCAGCCTGCGCTTCCCGAACATGCCATCACGGATTTGCCGCAAACTTGTCCGCAAGCCACGTCAACTGCTTTAGGAATGCCACAAGCAGAAAAGGAAATGATGTCTGCTGGGAGCCCTCATGATCTAAATAGATGCAAACAGGGGGATCAAATTGCAAGATGCAAACCTCGAAAACCAGTGCTGCAGGCTTTGAACAATGCTTTTTTGCCTACTGGGGAAAAACAAAGGTCCCCCAACTCCCAAGGAAGGTTCATACCTGGCTAGAAGGGGTTCTTCGAGGACCTTTCTGGGGGGGGGGTATTGCCTTTCAAGGCCTGCATCCTCAAATAACCTGCGTAGGTATATGTCATGTTGACTTGCACATTGCTGCCTGCGCGAAGCCAGAAAGGTGCGGCTTGCCCTGCGCATGTCCCCCCGACCCACCGACGGCTCCTGGGCTTTCTCCCGCCTCGTGGCCATGCCCCGCCCTGGTAGGCCAGGCACTGGGCGAAGTGCCTGGCGCTGAACGTCTCCGCCCCCAGGCGCCGCAGCAGCCGCTCCTGGCAGCTAGCAGTGTGCGGAGCGACGCGGGCCTCGTGTTCCCAGCTGTGAGGGGATCAAACCGGCCTCGCCAGCATCGCCAGCATCGCACAGAGAGCGCCCACAAGAAAGGTTCCTGAGTGCTGGGCAATTTCCATTGGCCCTGCCTGAAGAAGCGTTGGAAACTACGATGGCCTGCCACTCTTGCCAGAGTCCCTGGACACTTGACTGCTAGCAGGCCCATGTGACAGTAGCGCCTGTCCTGTGAGCATGATCGCTCGGCGCGTTGTCAAGTTGGGCCCCACGTCTTTATGCCACGCGACGATGTAAACAAGGACCATGAGCCCACACTTTGCTAACCGAAACTTCCGCCCTGGACTGTTCCACATACACCCAAATTCCATCTACATATTCACGTGTTGATAGACATACGCGCGCCAGCGCATGTCGCGCACACACAGGGGCTGATCAAACGGGCCTCTCTACACGGGACGACTGGAGAAATCCTCACTCAAACAATCAGATTGAGATATCTCCCACATGGAAAGCAAAGTTACCTTTGGGTCATTTGAGGGGGGGCACTAAAAATGGCTAACTTGGCCCACCGCCCCACATGGCTGTGGCTGAAATAAACGTACCAAAATGACTTACCAAGCAAAAATGGGTAGCCAAAGACTAAAACCTGGCGTGACCCTGGCTCTTTAATTTTGAGCCGCCCACCTCTCTACGTCTCTACCCCCCTGCCACCCCGGACGCCGGACTCCAGACTCTCCGCGTCCAAGCGGCACCAGCTCCCCCGGTAGCAGCTCGCTGGCGCGGCGCAGCGGGCCGCTGCCCCGCAGCAGCACCTGAGGCGAAGCGAAGCGCACGGCCCCGCTCTTGACCGCTCAGGAGAAGGGAAACCACCCATTTGCTTGGTTGCTGTTGACCCCCCTGCAAAACGTGAATCACTTTTGGGGGGATTTAGTGGAAACCCCATTGTTTTCCAAAAAGTTAAAGTCTAAAGATCCAACCCAATAGCAATCAAGTTTGGGGGCTGATCAAAATTCCATTCTAAGCACTTCTAGTTGATTTTCCTGCAGGATGATCAATATTCCATTTTGGGTCCCCAAACGATTATGTATAACTCTTCCCATGTGGGAATTATCTCATCTTTTTACCCATTTCAGGAGCACCCCCGAGGGACGTTGCCACAGAGTGGCCCTAACTGGTTGGTTTTCTCTTGCCTTACTTCCCTTGGAATACCAGAAGGGGGGTCCATCATGGTGAGAAGCACTCAGTTTAGGCAAGGTCAAGAAAGGTGGGATGTGCCGAAGTTCAAGCATCTACTTCAGCCAGTGCCACCAAACAGAGGCGGCCCTGAAAAACGACATCGTGCGTTCGAAGCAGGTGGTGTTGCAATGCCTAGCAGCTTCTCAAGTCAAAACAAATCGCTCACGTGAGTTGCTGGATGGACCTGGCTGTCCCCGTCAGGGTCATCACCTCTTGCCACGCAAAACGCGAGACAACCGCCGGGAACCCACGGCTCACCTCCCCTGGCTTCCGCAGCTGCCCTGCTGAAGTCTGCACACCTCACGCGCTCGGAACTTGCATGATCTTGCACGCACGTGGAGGCACGCAGTTTGCATTCGATTCTTGGCTCCCATTGCAAAGGCCGGAGATCCTTGCATCAAGATAAAGATTTGGTGCTTAAACCCAAAACAGTTGAGTTGAATCTGAGAGGCACGAACCTTGAAGTAAGTTTGCATCTTAGCGAACCACTGCATGTCTAGACTGGTCAACGGACGCACCCCGCTTCCCTTCCAACCACGGCACAGGACACGTCGGAGAGCCGCTCCTTGAAGGGTCACAGAGGCCAGACCCACACTCACAGGAAGCTGCTCAAAGTGATGGGGCTTCCGAGGCTGTGATACCCAACATGGAGCCAACATGGAGCCTGGTGCCTGGCAAAGGACACCAGTTGTCATACCACGGCTTCCAATCGAAACCCTTGGGGCCGCTTGCGACAGAGGCCATTCCCAGCACCCCACGGCTCCAGCACTCCCTCGCGGGCCACCCGCCAGAAAGGATCCGCCACCGGCTCGCCTCGAAAGCGCTGAACCAGCCAAAGGCCAAGTGGGATGCCCACCATGTCGAGACATGTCACGAAAATGAAGCAGGGGTGCCATGATGCCGTTGTCTAGCAACAACTCGGAATTGTCAAGCTTGCATGTTGAATGACAAAATGACAAACCACGTGGGCCTGTAACTCGAATTGGGGCGAGGGAGAGCGTTGTTTCAAGATACAGAACCTTGAGCAACTTGCGACCGGTCCCAGCAATTCAGCAAGAAGAGAGCAAGCAAACCGAGCAAGCCAAGCAAGCGACCTTCGGACTTCCGGCAACAAACCGGCTGCAGGTCGCCTAGCAGCGCCAGCGCCCGCCGGGAGATCTCCGGCGCCGCGGCACAGGCGCCAGCAAAGGCCTGCGTGCCAGAGGCTCGTCAGTTCAGCTTCTCGCGCGCAAAGAGCCACGCTGAAGAAAGGAACCCCTGGTTCTTGTACAGAGTTAATGGAAAACCACCCCTTTTCCACGCTAAACCGCCGTGCTCCAAGCCACCCTTTTTGGAGGGATTCTTGCCAGGAAAGGGGTTGCCGGTTACCAGCTTCACACATCAAGAAGCATGGCAAAAAATGCTCACGCCCGTCCTTCAAAATACTTGCACACGCAATTGGATGGCACCTCCGGCAACGCATCCCTGACCGCGCGGTTTGCCAAGCTTCCTCGGTGCAGGTCACCTCAGGAAGCTAACGATCACTTTCGTGCGGGCTACATCAGCTTCGCTCTTGAATTTGTCAACATGGGTATGCGTCCTTTTGAGGATACCCCTGTTCTGGCCCTTTCAGGTTGGCTTAAGAAAACAACGAAAGGAACACCGCCGTTTTGAGGCACCCATATCTTGCGATCATAAATGCCGTTGTCAAACAGAGTGGCCGGGAGTTAACGTGAGATACTGAGCCTCTCTGTCAAGAGGCTGCGGTTTGCTACGAGGTCAAAGACGGCACTGTGCAGAGCAAATCCGTAGCCGACCTGTCCTCGGCTTTGGCTTGCGTGGAACCCGTCCCTCTACAAGCAGTACTCCTGGCTCGTCCTTCCCCTTGTGCCGTGATACCCACAAGACTCTCTTAGCAATAAATCCCAGAAAAAAGCACCGATCCTCTAGTTCCGCCAGTCAACATGTTCTCAAAGGTGAGGCAGTGTTCCTTGCCGGGCGTCTGATGGGCAGCGTGCAAAACAAGGGCTCGCAGCGGCTCTCCTCAGAACTTGCCTCAGCGAGCGGCCATTGACAAGAATGATGAAGTGAGAGAGGCCAAAAGTGGAATCACAACTACAAGTGCCAAAGCAAAAAACCCGAGCTGGTATTAGTCGAACAAGGGATTGAGGCTCACAATCAAATGTACCAAATGTGCGCTGCTGCTTCATTCAGTGCTCACCTCCCGTGTGCTCTTGGCCGGAGCCAACTCGGCTCCTAAAATCCATGTCGCATAACATCGTGTGTTTTGTTGAGGGTACACGTTTTGGACTGGTTACCAACAAGGGACACCGACAGGAACCCAGCATGTGTGGCCCCCTATTTTCACATGCCCATGTTTGGTTGTGATGGCCATGGGAAAAAGACACTGCGTAACAAAATGAAAGAAAGAAAGAAAAAAAGAAAGAAACAAACAAACAAGCAAGGAAACAGACAAACAATGAAACAAATACACAAACAAAAACAAACTAGACGACGAGTGGCCCGGAAGCATAGAGGCAAGTTGATGCAGGTGAGGTAACTCTCGCAAAGTTAGCATGAGGAGTTGGCAGGCGAAGCAATTCTCAAAAAGTTGGCATGAGAAGCTGGCAGGTTAAGTAACTCTCGAATAGTTGGCTGGCAAAGTTGGCGGGTGAAGTAATTCTCGCAAAGTTGACATGAGAAGTTGGCAGGCGAAGTAACTCAAGAGAAAAGTTGGCATGAGAAGTTGGCAGGTGAAATAACTCTCAAAGAGTTGGCATGAGAAGTTGGCAGGTGAAGTAACTCTCGAAAAGTTGGCGTGAGAAGCTGGCAGGTGAAGTAATTCTCGAAAAGTTGGCACGAGAAGATGGCGCGTGAAGTAACTCTCGAAAAGTTGGCGTGAGAAGCCGGCAGGTGAAGTAACTTTCGAAAAGTTAGCATGAGAAGTTGGCAGGCGAAGTAATTCTCGAAAAGTTGGCGCGAGAAGTTGGCAGGCGAAGTAACTCTCGAAAAGTTGGCAGGCGATGTTGGCAGGTGAAGTACCTCTCGAAAAGTTGGCATGAGAAGCTGGCAGGTGAAGTAATTTTTCGAAAAGTTGCCACGAGAGGTTGGCAGATAAAGTATTTCTCGAAAAGTTGGCATGAGAAGTTGGCAGGTGAAGTAATTCTCGAAAAGTTGGCAGGTGAAGTTGCCACGAGAGGTTGGCAGGTAAAGTATTTCTCGAAAAGTTGGCATGAGAAGTTGGCAGGTAAAGTAATTCTCGAAAAGTTGGCATGAGAAGCTCGCAGGTGTAGTAACTCTCGAAAAGTTGGCATGATAAGCTCGCAGGTGAAGTAACTCCTCGAAAAGTTGGCACGAGAAGTTGGCAGGTGAAGTAACTCTCGAAAAGGTGGCATGAGAAGCTGGCAGGTGAAGTAATTCTCGAAGTTTCGGCATGAGAAACTGGCAGGTGAAGTAATTAACCCTCAAAAAGCTGGAGCGGCGGAGGCGCTCCGCGTGCTACATTTGCAATTTACAGTTGCGATTTTCCAGCCATTTGTATCTAAAAGTTGCGATTTTCCAGCCGGAGCTGCGGGAGCACGCTCCGCGTACTACGTCTGTACTTAAAAAGTGCGATTTTCCAGCCGGAGCTGCAGCAGCCTCCGCGTACTACGTCTGTACTTAAAAGTTGCGATTTTCCAGCCGGAGCTGCAGGAGCACGCTCCGCGTACTACGTTTGTACTTAAAAGCTGCGATTTTCAAGCCGGAGCTGCCGCGGACCAGGGGGGAATCGAACCCGGGACCGCGGGATTGCGAAAGCAGGCGCGCACACCACGAGACAACTTCCAAAAGCCGTTTCGCGAGCAAGAAAATCGCACGGCGCCACAGCGAGAGCGCTTCGACACGCACGATCTCCGCAGAGGGTTCATCGGGCTCAAGACAGATCGCACGGCGCCACAGCGAGAGCGCGACACGCACATCAGAGGGTTCGCCAAGGTCAAGACAAATTCGCACGGCGCCACAGCGAGACACGCAGGATCTCCGCAGAGGGTTCGCCAAGGTCAAGCCACAGCGAGAAGAGGGTTCGCCACGGCGCCACAGCGAGAGCGCTTCGACACGCACGATCTCCGCAGAGGGTTCGCCGCGCTCAAGACAAATTCGCACGGCGCCACAGCGAGAGCGCTTCGACACGCACGATCTCCGCAGAGGGTTCGCCAAGGTCAAGACAAATTCGCACGGCGCCACAGCGAGAGCGCTTCGACACGCACGATCTCCGCAGAGGGTTCGCCAAGGTCAAGACAAATTCGCACGGCGCCACAGCGAGAGCGCTTCGACACGCACGATCTCCGCAGAGGGTTCGCCAAGGTCAAGACAAATTCGCACGGCGCCACAGCGAGAGCGCTTCGACACGCACGATCTCCGCAGAGGGTTCGCCAAGGTCAAGACAAATTCGCACGGCGCCACAGCGAGAGCGCTTCGACACGCACGATCTCCGCAGAGGGTTCGCCAAGGTCAAGACAAATTCGCACGGCGCCACAGCGAGAGCGCTTCGACACGCACGATCTCCGCAGAGGGTTCGCCAAGGTCAAGACAAATTCGCACGGCGCCACAGCGAGAGCGCTTCGACACGCACGATCTCCGCAGAGGGTTCGCCGCGCTCAAGACAAATTCGCACGGCGCCACAGCGAGAGCGCTTCGACACGCACGATCTCCGCAGAGGGGTGCGTTTCGTAAGCTCCCGTCGGGCCTACCCCCGCCATAAAAAGAAGAAGAATTAAGAGTCGAGATGTGAAGGTAGAACAGAAAAGTTAGCTTGTGTTTTTAGGATAGTGAAGTAACACCCGACAAATTAGCTTGTGCTTTTAGTAGAATGAGATAACAGCCGAAAAGTTGACATGAGAAGTTGGCAGGTGAAGTAACTCTCAAAAAGTTGACATGAGAAGTAGGCAGGTGAAGTAACTCTCGACAAGTTGGCATGAGAAGTTGGCAGGTGAAGTAACTCTCGACAAGTTGGCATGAGAAGTTGGCAGGTGAAGTAACTCTCGACAAGTTGGCATGAGAAGTTGGCAGGTGAAGTTGGCAGCCGCTTTTAGAAGAAGAACCCTTCGCAATGCTTCCGGGAAAAAAGGCAAACAAAGAAAGAAAGAAAGAAAGAAAGAAACAAACAAACAATCAAGCAAATAAACAACATAACAAACAATGAAACAAAGGAACAACCAAAGAAGCTAACAAAGAAACAATGAAACAAAAACAAAACAAAACAAAAAAACAAGCAAGCAAACAAGCAAAGAAACAACAGAACAAACAAAGAAGCAAACAAAGAAACAAAGAAACAAACAAACAAACAAACAAACAAACACACAAACACAAAAACAAATAAACAATCAAACAAAGCACAATGAAAGCGATGCGCCACTTAACTCAGAATTTGTGCCGCCAAGTGCAGGCAATGCAGCCGAGCTTCGGGAAAGGCCAGGACCAAATCTGCGCTTGCCCCTTAGACACGAGAGCTCAGAAAAGCTGGTCCCTGGCAAGTTGCCAGCGACTGCTCGCAAAGGGCCTTCAACTCTGTGAAGCATCTTGAACATAGGTGTCCTTTTGTTCCAAAAAGATGGCCCTGGCGAATGGAAGTTTTTGCCACCTAAACCAGTGCAATCTATTCTAACCAAATTGACATAACAAGGACACCTGTGATCTTGAACTTCTCTGAATTTACCGAGCTGCCGGGTCCGACCGGGGTCCGATGGTTGTAAACCAAGTACTCGTGCTCTTGCGGTGGCTCGCCCTCTTCTTCGAGTACCACCTAAGTCTATGGACTGACTGCAGCACAAAGCCGGCATGAATTGAAGAAATCGCAGCCTTCCACTCACCTGCTGGCTTACACCTGTTCCTGATTCTCGCCGCGTACACGAAGCACGCCTCTCTTCGACGGAGCGTCAACCAAGGTCCGGGCTGCAGCAGATTGCACTGCCTGAGGCCTGGGCGACCACAACTGCTGCATCCACCCTCTGCTTTGGTTGAAGTAGCTCTGAACCAGCACCACCTTTCTGTGTCTAACCTATGGAGCGTTGGCAATGAACCTAATCAGGCAGTTCCCTGACGAGCTGGCTGCTACCCGCAGCCCAGCCTCGCGAGCACGCCTTCTGCTCTGCGGCGCAGTAGCCTCACAAGCGTCAGTTGCAGAGCTGCAACGTATGGTAGCGAGGACACCAAGGGAACAGACTGGCTGGTCTGCGTTTCTTGCTGTTTTTGGCTGGCCATAATTGTTAAAAGAGCGTTCATGCAGCGCAGCGCCCTTGTGCGGGCAGGTAGTGGCTTGGGTATCTATGTTCTGCTTTCTTGCAGGAGCCTGGCAGCCTGTTTCGCTCCGCGCAGCGCTAAGGAATGCCAACATCCCTTCCAACTTCCAATCAAAGCCTGGGATATGAAAATGCCTTTCTGATCCTACGTCTAATTATTCAATTGAGCACCGCTGGTTCTGCCACCAAATCAATTCAAAATGAAAGGACACTTGTCTCGGCCAGTCTCACAACTCGGCCAAACACCGGCAGCATTCCAACTCCCCAAGTCGCAAGCTGGGGTTGAGGGCGGCTGCAGGCGAAAGTGTGAAAGCTCCCAGTTTACGCTGATCTCCATATCGCATAAGCCCCTGCCTCAGAGGCTGGTTCCCGCGGAGTAGCTCCTTAGGCGGCACAGTCAGCCCAATCTTGCATTTATTGTCATGAGAGCCTTGCTGCAGGTTAAAGCCAAAGCGCTTTTCAAGAATCAAATCCAAAAGCACCACGAAACACACACACACAGTGCATAAATACATACATTTACTTACATGTGCATGATATATACTTACTCCGTATGCGACGCATGGCTCACCATGCGTCGCCTTCAACCCAAGCGGCGATGCTGCACAGCCGCCTTAGGAAGAGGAGGGAGGCACGCCCAGGGCCCGCCAACTCATCCATCTCCTTCGGGGCCAGGGGAGCCACGGGCCATGCGAGCCATGGGCCACCCGGCGCGGGAAGATGTAGGGCTCCGGTGTGTCCCATTGACACATGTCTGGCCAAAACCTGTGAACTTGTGTGTTTGTGCGCGGTCTCCATGTGCATTTGCGCTGGCCACAACCGGTCTGCCCCATCCTGCCCAATGGCCGCCGCAAGGCCGCTCGCCCTCAAGGGCAGGAACAGCACCTGGGCGATGAAACTTTGGTTTCGACGTTGGACCTTCTTTGAAAATTGTGCCGGTGGCATCCACGCGCAATCCGCGCAAAGGCGCACTAGATTTCAACCAGCGAAGCCACGCGATAGGAGTATCTTTCGGCATGAAACTTTTGGACTGCAGTACTATTCTGTGCTTCTCGAACACTAAGCAGTTTCATTTTAATCGTAGCTCCAGTCCCAATTTCAATTCCAAAGGTGCAATGGAAAAATCCGGATAGGAATTTTAGAGGCCAAGCCACACAGGCCCCCCCAGCCCCGTCCGATTTTAGCAAGGCGCTGTGCGCCCAGAGTGATGGGCCTCCCGCACCTCTGGCGGCAGCTTGGCCAGCTCCGCCTCGCCAAGCCTGAGCTCGAAGTGGCAGCCCTGCCGCAAGCCCGTTGAACCGTTCAAAAACCTGCAACTGACTGGAGCCCGAGCAAAAGTACAAAGCAGGTTTGTCAATGTGATCTGATCAATTTCAGCAACCTGGGAAATGAATACGGACTTCTCAACTACCACTACGGCTACTGCTACGGCTACTGCTACTACCGCTACTACCGCTACCACCGCTACTACCGCTACTAGCGCTACTACCGCTACCACCTATACTACCGCTACCACCGCTACCACCGCTACCACCGCTACCACCACGACCACCACGACCACGACCCCCACGACCACTACCACTACCACCACTACCCCCGCCCCCAACAACCCTCCTGAGAGCCCCATCCAAGAGGTTCTAAAACAACTTTTCGGGTTGCGGGGGCGCCCAAGGCGTTTGCCCTAACTACAGGCTTCAAAAAATTGATTTGGACACCAAGAGATGTTTGTCGCATGATGTGCGATCTGACCAACTAAACTACTAGTATCGACCCTGTCTTCCTGCCCACCCATGCCACGCATAGGCATCCAGGAGGCCAGGTGGGTGTCACATAACCTGAGGCCAAGAAAGGAGGGATCCGCAGAGAGTAAGAGAGCAAACTGCGCATTTCACGTTAACTTCATCCATTAGCGTGTGTGTGTGGGTTTAATGCACCCTTGTTCATTGACCAGACCCTCTGCACGAGGTGGCATATCTCCCATGACATTAAGCATGCGTTGTGCCTTTCAGCTGGGGAGGCTGATCTTGGGCTGGTGGGGAGGGCATTCACGCCAACTGGGGCGCATCAACTCAGCGAACTCTGGAACGTGAGGCGTCTGAGGTGGGGCGGGTGGAAAGGGGGAATTGGTTGTCACACTTTTTTGTTTGACCGCGCTGAGTCTCAAGGTGCCCAAAGCCAGCAAAGAACTTCCGTGGAGCATACTCTTAGCCAAATGTATGCTACAGTGGGTGGATTTGGAAGCCACAGCAAGTGAAAACGCAACGACCCCTTCCTGCCCACTTCCCACCCTAAAGAGTTCCTAGCCCATCCCATCCCATCCCATCCTGAAGCTAAATAGTTGCTTGAGACATACAGTCCGCTTGAGACGGTTCGTAGTTGGCACATCAACTAATCTTAGTCGGGGCGGCAATCAAGGGGTTGCCTGTATAAGTTGCGCATGTCTTAAGCAAACTCGAAGTTCCAAAACAAGACAAAGCCCTCCAAGACCAAAGATGAATGCCGTGGTAAAGCGGGCCCTGGACTCATTTTGTAGAGTCGACGGAGATGCCATGAGGGCCAATACAACGAAAGTGAGAACAATCGGCCTTATCACTTCAACAGGAGCGGGTGGGCAATTCCTGGGCTGGCTTGCGCACACACACACACACAAGCCCAGAGCCACGAGCTTCGGCAACTTCTAGGCCTCCCGGCCCAACTTCCCCAGAGGCCCTGCAACATCAAAGACAAAGGTGAAGCCCTGGAATCGGCGCCGATTGCAAGAGATGCGCCGATTGCATGCTGCGACATGAGCCAAGCTATTCTGAGTTGTCGATGCTGGTCCCGTCCTGGCCCCCTTGAGTGAGGACATCGGCACGACATGCTTGCCCCCCACCGGGGTCTGAACTCGATCCAGGCCTTGGACAGCACATGGGCGCGGTCGCTGACGGTAAACACCGACTTGAAGCCGATGCCCTTGCCTCAGCTCGGGCACCGAGGAAAGGATTGCTTTCACCCAGCCAAGCAGTTGAGAGCCAAGTTCCTTTAAATGCCATACCCCTCTCCAAGGGTCCAGCTGAATTGAACAACCGAAATACTGGACTCCCCTTCACCCCCTTACCCAGAGGAAGGTCCGAAGCCTTAAAGTCACCTGAAGGTCACCTTAAGCCCCCCCTTAAGGTCAGCCTTCGGGATTTGTGGGGTGACACACAAAATCACCCTGCGGACGTGGAAGGGTGCAGCAGTGCAGCTCCGCTGCAGCCGATGGATCCGCCTTCTGCCCCAGGCATCGGCTTCTTCTTGGAAGATGCCGAGATGTCGCACAGAGCAGTCACGTCTCCTTGGCTCCGGACGCAGCTCGCGTCCAAACGAAGACAGGCATGCTCGCCGTGGACTGCAACTGTTCACTGTTCACGACAATAAGTCTAGCTTGGCCTCTTTCTGTGAAGCCAGCTTCGTTGTTCTCCTTGGCTCACTGTCACGCCAAGGCAAATCCCGAACGTTCTGGGGAGCAAAGGCAAACCCGCGTGACCTTCCCGCTGTCAAACCACCTACGACTCATTTTGTGATCTCTTCCGTGGCTTCCGTGGCCTGCAAAGGGGCCGTCCCGTATCCACCGCTCCATCGTTCCCTCGTGCCGTGCCCTGCTTTTCATCTGTTGCCGGGCGGCGCTCAGAAAGAATCCGTGGGGGAAGGCGGGAGAAGGCGGCCCCAAGCGCAAGCTCAGCCGCGGCTCCCGGGCCTCCTGGAAACGCGTTTTCGGCACAACCCCCAAGTTCCAAGGGCTTAACGAAATTCGAAGAGTCCATGAGCCCAGAAAGAGGCTGATCTGTACATCTTGACCTGGCATGGTGACGTTTGCTAGGTTGTCCTTGTCAAAAATGGGGGGGCCTGTTGTGGCTTGGGTGCGGCACGAAGAAAAAGGGCAAACAAACATCAGGAGATTGGAGGCCCCACGTCTCGGCTGTCCAAATCTGTTCAATCTGAATTCACAATGTGCATGGTGGTTTGGAGGCTAGACAGTCGCCCTCCGAGCAAAGTACCGCCATCCAACCACAATATCTGCACCAAAAGTCGTTTGCCATGGATTTTGGGCCAACACTTATGGAAATGTGTGGGGGAGGGGGGGGGTGCAAGCAAGTCAAGCTATTGCCCAGGCTGTTTGTGAGGAAGCGATGAAAGCGAAAACGTGAGAGGCAGGGGTTGGAAAGCACTCTGACAATATGGACCTAGCCATGCTATCTGAAAGGAAGTACAAACCTCAAGCCGCCTCGCACGCCAGCAATCACCAGGCTTTAGCACAACTGGTGAGTGTTGCAACGTTGCAACGTTGCGAGTGAGTCGTCGCGCCCTGTGGATAAGTTGGAGTGGACCTGATGACCTAGGATTCTCAACTGCTTATTGGGCCCAACTTCCAAAGCCTCATCTGGCACCTCTCCTTGGGACGAGCACGTGCGTGCGCATCCTCAGCATTCCTGGCAGAAGTTTGTCCCGTGTGCAGGCCAAGCCCCCAAAGTAACATGAAACAGTGACGTCCAAACAAAGAAAACAAAGCCAACAAAGCTCGGGTTGCCAAGGCTCTGTATGATCTCGTAAAGGAAATGGCACTCGCTCTCATACAGGTCGTTGGCTAATCTCTCCACCGCCGCACACAGGCTCTCCGAAAGCTGCTTCACACCTTCTCGCACCTCGCGGCAAACCACCAAACGCCCTAAAGAAATGAATGTCTCCTTTTGGCTTGTCTGCTGCTTTCATCATGCCAATATCGCTTCTCAATTCTGTCCAAACGCACGTCCAATTATCCTTTCCAAGTGGGCACGGCGCCCACAAGCAAAATGCAATCCTATCTTGCGGCTGCCCACGCAAAAATTTCGCGGTGGCTCGTCAGTTTTGGCACCGAGGCAAGAGGCAGGAAGGCAAGCGATTTGTTCGGTGTATGGTCTTTCGGGACACCCAACAGTGCAGGTTTGCAAGCCACTTAATTTTGGAGGAATTTGGCGATGAGGATGTTGGCGACGGCGCCGAGCCTGCTGCGCTTGCTTGGTGTACATGTTGGGGATTTATCGCCTCCCCTCCTCAAACACACACACACACACACACACACACACACACACACACACACACACACCAAAAACAAAAACGCGACACAATCATTTATGAATAAGCGCACGCGCCGGTTGAGAAAGCTTATCTACTGAAGTGCAAAAACAGTAGCAATGGAAAACAGCTGTACAAAAATCAAAAGCAGAAGAAAAGCAATTGGACATCAAAGGAGGAGCAAATGGAAAGTAATACACTTGAGGCACCGTTTGCCAGAAGTGCCAACGCTGCCTTATCACCAGCTCCCCCGTACATGTGTGAACCAGGAACGCAGAAAGTGATGACAACGGCTGGTGCGAACCAGTCCAGCCCAAACAACCGGGAATCTTGAACAGCAAGCCTGAACAAACGGCAAATCTTGCCCGCCCCCCCGGGTGAAGCAAAGCCTCTTCGACGCAGACTTCAGGAAAGCAAGTGGAAGACAAAGTTCGCAGAAAGAACCGGCATCAGGTCTAAGCACAATGCTGACGTGTCACCAAGCTGCATTTGGCCCAGGCGAATCCGTGCCTATCTGCATCCCACCCGCCCGTGCCTCATCGGGCAGCTGCCCTTCCGCCACCAAGCGCCTCCGCCGGAGAGCCGCGACGAAGGAGGCCTGGCACCAGGGTGTTGGCTTCAGCGGGAAGGTCTGAGGCGAGCCCCTTGCCTGTGTCAGCCAACGCTGATGTCTAGCGGTTCCTTGGGGCCTCCAACACTTGGGGCCCCAACCCCCCCCCCCAAAAGAAAAGAAGTTCAAACAGCGCTGTGCCAAGATCTTCCAGGGCTCCGCCAGCGTTCGCCAAACAAGCGAAAAGGCGAAACACGTGCAATGATGGCAGCAGTGATGGGTCTTGTCTGCGGGCATACTTGATCAAGCTGACGAGGCAAGCACAAGAAGCAAAGGTCATTTTGACGTTGCTGACCTACGCGGACGGCCCAACTGAGTGCTCCTCGGCACGCCTTGAATGACGCAAAAAGAGTCGGATGGGCTGCTGCCCAGGTCCTGAAACCAAGTTCAATTTGTCCCACCGCCCCTGCGACCAAAACTGCCGCTCCAAAGCTGCCGAATTCACCAAGACCCGCCGAGTCCCAAATTCGCCGCAAGCGGAGCCTCTGAGCTGCCGCCCTGCGTCGCTGCCTTCCAAGGCGGCGTGGAGCCGCCTGCGGCGGCCTTGTCGGGGAGCTTTGCGAAGCCACTGGACCAATGAGAACCCAGCAGGGGAACGCCGAGCAGCCGGTCAGGGGAGGGGAAAAAAACATGAATAAACACCGCCAAGACCAAATGGAACGCTGGGATGACCAATGGGATCAAGCACTTTTGGAGCAGAGCGCCAAGTGCACAAGCGCCTTGCCTTCTCCTCAGTTGCCGGCGCTTGGCTCTGGGCGAGGCAGGCTGCCTGCACCTGGTAGGTGGTGGCTTGCTCAGCATGAACATGGAGAAAAAAAGCTTTGTGGCGGCAACTGTCAATGTGAGGGATGTTTAGCGCCCTCCTGCCTGGCTCAAAGCAAGCACATTTGGCTGCAGCCCTTGACTTTGCCCTCCTCATGATATTCAGGTGTGTACATATGTATATACATGACAGTTATCTGAAATTCCTTGTTCCGGAAACCGCCATCTTCGCGAGAAAAAAAAAATAACTTTCGCGGACCCCATCGCGGAACTTTCGCGGGGCTGTTTTCAGAACATTCATCACAAAAGTAATACACGAAGTACACTTTCGCAGCCCCAGCTCGAAAGCCGCAGCTTTTCAATACGAAAGTAGCAAAGTAAACTTCCGCAGCCCGGCTTGAATGTCGCGCAACTCTTCAATACGAAAGTAGTACATGAACTAAACTTCCGCAGCCTCGAAAGTCAAAGCTAATACAAAAGTAGTACACAAAGTAAGCTTCCGCAGCCCCAGCTCGAAAGTCGCAACCTTTCAGTTCCAAAGTAGCACGCGAAGCGCGTTTCCGCAGCTCCAGCTCAGAGGGCCCGTTGGCCTCACGTCCGGAAACTGGCAGGGAGGTCCGTCGACTTTCGCGAAACTTTCGTGGATCTTACGCCAAACATTCGCGAATATCCGGCTGGAAGTTGCACTCAACTTGACCCGAAAGCTTCAAAACTCCCACAAGCCGGTTTCTGCTGGCTGGGGTTGCTTTTGCAGCGGCGTATTCTTGCGGCGGCCCTCAGGCTGCGCATTCCCTGGCCAACTTTGGTCTGCGGGCATTCTGGCCGCACTGCTGGTAAATACACATGGTTCATCACTCCAGCTTCCTGTTAGCAAGCCACCCTTACACAAAACTTTCGCGAATAAAAAATTACCTTTCGCGACCCCCTTCGCGGAACTTTCGCGGAGGTCAACGCCAAGACCAAAAGGTCTTCCCCTTCATAGCTCAATACAAGGACCTTTCGGACGACTCTCACATATGTTTAGTTAAAAGATCAACTATATAGCTTAATCCAAAATACATATCATTAGTTTGGAAATTAACTAAAGTATCAAATATTCTATATCACGTATGTATTCCTCCAATTCTCTCTCTCTCTCTCTCTCTCTCTCTCTCTCTCTCTCTCTCTCTCTCTCTCTCTCTCTCTCTCTCTCTTGCTCTCGGCTTCATCCAATTACACTGATGTAATTAAAACAAATGGTCAGTTCTACGCACATTGTAGATACCAAACAAAGTCACATAACTTCACAATACATAAACAAAGTAGACATTCCATATTTGCTCGATTGCCATTCTGAGCAACAAGGCACATGTGAACGTCTTTGTGCTTCACAAAATGAGCACGACTTTTTCTCCGAGGTAAAACTACACATGGGTGTAGCTCAAAATTCATGAGCTAGGGTTACGCCAGGTCTTAGTCTTTGGCTCCATTTACCAAGCTGACATTTTGGATCCGTTTTCCTCGAGCCACAGCCACATCGCCCTTCTTTCCCTTCTTAATTTGCGGTAACTTGTTCTTTTTCCCCAGGTAAAACTATACATCGCCCTCCACCCCTCCCCGTCGCCCTCCCCTCCCCCCCGCCCCCGCCCCCGCCCCCACTCCTCCCCCACTCCGCCCAATCCGCGCCTCCGCCGCCTCGGCGCGGCGCTGCGCCTCCACCAGCTGCGCCTCCAGCGCCTCGAGGCCTTGCAACCCGAGAGGCGACGGGCGACGGAGTGGCCCGGGGGCATGGGGCGCCCTGGGCGCGTCGTGGTCTTGCTTTTTGTGTGTGTGTGTGACTTTGTTCTTGTGTTTTTGTGTTTCTTGTTGCGTTCAACGCCTTTGTGTGGGACTTGGGGGCTTTTTGGACCCTTTTTGCCCGTTTTCAGGTTGGTGGCGAGAGAAATCATGATAAAGCACTAGTGGAAGTGGATGGATTGAACAGCTCTTAATTTCTTAGGGGCGTTTTGGGCCCTTTTTGCCACCCGTCAGGTTGGCGGAGAGAGAGAAATCGTGAGAAAGCGATAGGCTGTAGCACCCCTGAAGCTTTAGAATGAACAGTCTCTGCGAGCCACAAGACTGGGGCGCCTGTGGTTTGAGCTGGGAGCTTTTTGAGTGGAACCTCCCATTTTGGGGTTCCCTCATACGACACCCTCCGAGCGGCTCTGTTCCAACTCCTGGCGCTCCCGTTGGTGCGTCTCATTGGCAGAGGCCAGCCTCAGACCCCGGCATGGCACCAGCTTTGACAAGTCAGTCATGATAAAAAGGTTTGAAGGATGGGAGCTTAGAGAAAGCGCTGCAATTGTGAGTGTGTCTGTGCGTCTCTGTCTGTGTCGCTGTCTGTGTGTGGGTGTGTGTCTGTCTGGTTCCTTGTGCCTTTGTGTGAGTCTGTGCGTATGGGTGTACGCGCGTGCGTGGGCTCAAGCCTGCAAATACCGCACCAAAACGCAAAACGACAAAGAACATGTCACACAACGAGCCAATCTTTGTATAGAACAGGTTAAACAACCGGGAAGGGTCAACAATGAACCCTGTGCACAGCGCGCTTTTTCTTGAGCCATACGCAGTCGTAATGATGAGACTGCGCAAGTGAGACATTCATGCATTGGGGTTTTACATGGTTGATAAATACATCACGTTGCAAACTACACCCCCCGTGCCCGAATGTGAAACAGGAGGACAAATGAAAGGGATGAAACAACCAACGAAACCCGATCGGCATGAAGCCTTTTGCAGCACATAAGCACTTGGATTCGAGCAACTGGCCGTTAAGGTCTTCCGCCTCCACTGACCGTCGCTCTCGCGAGGCGTGCTCATGCCTGTACATTGATCCTCGGCCAACATGGATTGAGAAGTATAATGAATATTGAATTTGAAATGTAAATGGATGTCAGCCGAAGATTGAAAAGATTGTTGAAGAGATCGCTCATTCATCGCCAATCCCAATTGCGGGAGCTCTTCCACGGGCGCTGATCATCAGACCACCACGAGTCCCAGGATTGGCCCCAGCTTCCCCAGTACGACTGGCTCCATTGACGATCTTGCCATTGGCCACCGGTCTCCCGGCGCTGCGGAATGGGCTTGTGCGTCACACCGACAACTGCAGGGAGCGGAGTGGCCCGTCCAGGGATTTGGATGCCGGGGATCTTCTATTCGACGAAGCAAAGCAACTCAACCAATACCGTTTCGGGGTCTCCAACCGACGCGAAATCCCGAGTCCAGCCCATCACGGGGTAGCAGTTGGTCTTGTCAAGGCTTCCATACAACGCGGCAAATTGTTCTGCTTCCAAAAATCTGCCACCATGCACCACATACACGTCTTTCGGATCAACCTCCTGCACGTCCTCGGTTGGCGGCACCAGCGTTAGCCGTGCGTGATATTTCGGCACAGCAACGCTTCCTTGGATCATTTCCTTCGTTCTTGCGAAACTCGGAATAATGCATCGTGCCACCTTCTCGATAAACTCGAGGGCGGACGGCGTCAGGTCTCCCCGCGCGGCAGTGTAGGCGTAGAAGGGGTCGTTGATCAGCCTCTCGTACAATGTGCTGTACTCCTTGTTGCGAAGAACTGCTTTCTTGGCGATGTCCTTCATGATCCCGAGGCCCCCTCTTGCGCTTCAATCCCCTCGCTCATCCTTCCGCTGCGTCAAGATCTGAGTCTCAACCTGGTCCATGGAAAGTGGCACGCCCAAACTGTTGGCCATCTCTTGCAATCGGACAACCCTTGCTATCTTCTTGATACCGGGCATGCGCTCCATGAGATGGTCACACTGGTAACAGTTGATGGTGCCGACCGGGATGAGGATTTGCAGCGCGGGCATTCAACGTCGGGGATGTGCATGACCTCCGCGAAGCGCCAATTGGTCGACTTCTGCTTGTTGGGGCCCAGGTCCTGCCACAAACCACTCCGGCCACGGGTTTCCCCGGGCTGCTGTTTCACAGCTCGAGCCCAGTTCCGGTAGAGGCCATAACGAGCGGTCTCGAATTCGAGGGCGATTTGCTCCTCCTTCGGGAGGTTCTCGTCGTAAACGTCCCTGACCTTCGTCACATTCCCAATTCGGTGAGGTCTCATCATGTCGCGGCAAGCTGTGGGCCCACTGCTTGTAATACAGCTTGCACTCCTTGTCGGCCTTCGCCGTGAACGATTCGAGCACTGGGGTCCCGACAACGCTGTTCTGAGTTTCCTCCCGATACTTCTTGATGCTGTCTTGGTAATTTCGTCTGACGCTGACATACATGCGATTGGACCAGATGAACTTCGCACACTCTGCGCCGTAGGCGTAAATGAGGACCTTGTTCGTGATCCAATCCTCGGTCACCAGGGCTTCCCCGTCTCCGGGTGCGCACAGCCGTCAGCCCAATTGGATCAACATCTCCACATCGACGGCGATGTTGATGGGTCGGTCAGCCCGCGCACCCCCCGCCTTCCGGCCGTGCCTACCTGTCAAGGCATTGTTTAAGGAATCCGGTCATGTCGTAGGTAACCAGCGTGACGGGTTTGTCCATGCAAAGTTGGTGCTGAAAAAGTTCATCGAGATATGAAAAACCTTTGGCTCGATTGGCTTTCTTGGCGGACGTCTTGTGCCTGAGCTTCTTCACGGCCGCAGCCGCTAGGCGGTTATTTCCAACGTTTTCATGGAAGAAATACGTGGTTCCAACCCAAAGAAAAGGAACAGTCTGAATCTGATCATCGTCTTCATCGAAATGCGAATACTGTTGAGCAGCACCGTCTTTGTCAAAACATGGACTGCGCTCTGTGTACCGCGTCCCGCCCAACCCAATCTCTTTGGCAACACCGTTAGGCGTGCGGCGAAATTTGCGCCTTGGCTGCTCGTGTTGACAAACAACCACGCCATGTTCTGGATAGTGTTCCCAGTAATCCTGAGTTCGGCGAGATGCGGCCGCAGTCTTGTCAGATGGATCCTCCAGGTCATGGTTGAAAACATGAGCGAAAGGATGATGTTCAGCCGAAAGTTGAACCTTCTCCGTGACAACATGTTCACATCCGAGGTACCTACCAACAGCCGAAGGTGGGTCCATGTCAATCTTGGAAGAAATGAGTTCCCAACCTTTTGCAACATTCTGAACCGGTCCCGACATCTTGAAGTCGTGGACGTACACTGCGAGCAGGAGTCGAAGTTTCGGATGCCAGAAAACTGAAGGCCAGGCTCCAGGGTAAACAAGACGGAAACCAAGGGATAAGAGAATGTCTTCACAGTGCTTCTCCCATAGACCCCCCGAATCCGGGTGGCCGTAAAGAGCAAGAATGAGCTGCACCACCGGATCGCTATACTTTGAGGCCCAACCTTTCGGCCAGCGATATTTTGGGAGGCGTACCCATGTCTTGATTCCCTTGTATAATGCCTGCGTATATGCCTGTCGCCCATCGGATTGTTGAGTGCAGTTACCAGGCATAGCTCCATAAGCATCGATGGCTTTGGCAGCTTCCATGGTGGAAGGGGCCGATCCAAGTTCAGCGAATAAAGCTTGCTCAGCATTTTCGTCTTTTACGTTGTTCCCCTGAAACACAGTCCTTCCCTTAAACTTGCGAAGAGGGTTTCCTTTTTGAAGTTCACTCCCTTTCTCAACACAGATTTCAAACATTTTGCCAACATGGACCTTTTCACTTCTCCCCTTGGCTTCTTTGACCACCTGCGACCACTCACGCACAGTGTCGTAATCCCATGCGCCCTTGCCTTCAAGGTTGTGCCACTCCACATCAATAAATTTTTGGGCATCAGCATTACTTTCAATCTCCTTCCGCCCCACCGGTCTAGCAACCATGGCGTGAATAACGGGGTGCAGGTGAGCTTGAAGAACTTTGCAACGATGTTGACCAATTTCGGGATTCGCAGAAAGTGCAGGCAAAATCACAACATCCAGCGCGTCCTCAACGGTCTCCTCTTTAGAGTGGTGCCCAACGCAAGGTGTAACAGGCATAAGAGGAATGCTTGAAAACTCATCTTCCAATCCTGCAGTGGTCGCCGGCCTAGCCTTGGAGGAAGAAGCTTCCGGGTCCTCGGAGACGGGCTCATCGAGGAAAGCCTTGCGAGCCTTCTCTCGTTCTTCTTTGATGATGGCGAGTCTCCTTTGCTTTGTTGACATTGTTTTCCAAAGAAAAGGTGGAATACTGTCGGGTTTGCTTGATCCCGAATACCTCCGAGCTTTCACACCCCCCGCATCGTAATGAGCACCTCCATCTTTGGGGACAAAGGTGTCTTTGCTGGTCTTCAAGTCGATGACTTTGATCATTTCTTCCGACGCGGGCCCCTTTTCGGGGGAAACTTTGATCAGCTTTCCGAGGTTTTCAGCGAGTTCCTGATCGTCAATGTCATCCTGGCCTGGCATCTCTGCCGGCAAATCCTCTTCCAAGAGCGGCGCATCTAATGCAGCGGGATCTGGCGTTTCAGGAGCGTATTCAAGCCCTGGCATTACGCCATTCATGTGCAATAAGTGCCGTTCGACCATCGGAAAAGAGAATTCACCATCCGGACATTTGATCTGATTCACTCTCAATGGAGCAATACGTTAATCATAGTCCTTCTCCATCAAATCTCGCAAAGGAATAACAAGAAATTCGTGACGCCAAAGAAAGTCAGGATGGATGGGATACCCCAGAAATATTCCAGCCCTGGAAGTAGGTTCAAACTTCAAAGGCTTGTTGGGTCGATTCCTCGGGCCAGTCCAAAAGTTGACTTGACAACCAAAAGGCAAATATGGTCCGGGAAAATCTTCTCCAAAACGTACCTTCCATGGTGAATGATAATCTGGGTGGTCCGTGATGTTATGCGCCATGCAATAGTGTTTGGCCGCATGTGGCCAATACGAATGATGCAAACCAGCTTGCTCTAGGTTGGTCCTCGTGCCCTCGATAATCGCCCTGACGTTCCTCTCAGCAATGGCATTCGTTTTGGAAATGTAGTTTGTACTTTGAACATGCTTCCATTCCAATTGATCCGCAGCTTTCACAAGTTCAGGAGCCCGATCACTGTAAAACACGTTCACGGTTTCCCCGGTGCGGACAAAGTGCTTGAAAGCCATCACACACTGATGAGAGGTTTTCCGTGCTGCTGGGTAAACAATAACGGAAATCAGTGGCAACATCTCGAACCACAAGTGCAACTCTAGATTGATCAATGCCGATTTCACGATCATCTGAAGTGATGAGATGGTCCGCCGTAAGGTGATCACCAAACTTCTTGGCCTCGACTTGAGTGGAACCTCCCTTTTGTCTTGATGGATATTTGTACATCTTCGCCCTGTTACAAGTCTCGCAAAAGGGGTTCTTGGGAGTGTGACACATCAAGTGCTGGAGTGAGGTCGCCTCATCACGCAAAGCTGCTTCACCGCGTTCGCGAGGAGCATCCTTCAAAATAGGCTTAGACACAAACTCGGAAGCAATGACCTTAGGCGAATCTTCAGAGGGAATGTCATGGCACTTCTCAATGACCTCACCTTCCGGTTGGCTAATGGTATCTTCAAGCAAGAAATCATCGTTCCCCAATTCGTCCCCATCATCCTCATTGGTCACAAGCACCTCTTCCACAGCTTCGGGTTCTTCGTCAATGACTAGAACTTCGTCCTCAATGGGAGCTGATGGTAAAGTTGTAACCTTTGGAAAGCTTTGTGACAAAGCTGGAACAGCATTTTTGTCAAGAGACGGCAAGGTGACGTCCCGTGGGACGCTATGCACCGAACCCTCAAGCTGTAATACCAACCACGTAGAAAGGTGTATACGGACGATGCCGTTATAGCCGAACCCGTGTAAACGTTGTAAGGGAGAAGGAATGATAGCTACAACAGTAGTCCTGACAATGCAGCGCAAGCAGTTGTTTTGCTCTTGATGCCGATCACGTAGGTCTGCAGTCACACATCAGATCTTGAACCTCAATTGTGTCTTGAGCCAAATGGCGATCAATGGAACTTGGGAAGCAACACCAACAAGGACCTCAGAACAGCTACCCAATTTCGGCACGGGGCCTAGAGGGTTTTAACATCCCCCATTTGGGTCGCATTGTTCATCATGCGGTCCAAACCCCACAAAACGTTCCACTGGCCACGGCTTCAACTACGAAATCGTGTCGTGCATTCTTTTACTTGCTATCACTACACCGTTCATTCGCTGTGAAACATGCCGGGTTCGATTGTACGAAAAGTGAAACATTCATCCTCCAATCGAAGCACACATCCATATGCAGGTGTATATAATACCCTGTGGCCACTTCACTTGACCGCCAGTGAACATTCCAGCTGCCGCATTTGCGCATCGCGCAGCTGTCATCCATAAATGGGTTGGCCACAAAAGTCCACCAGACGCGCCCGCTTGTGATCGGTCTGCATATCTCCGGCAAAGAAACATCGGTGAGTAATCAATGCAAATCATAACCATTCCGGATACCATGGACAATGCATAAATAATGAAAAGATATCATCTATAAGGTAATAGTTCCATCCATGAATATCCAGAGCGTCATAGTCATCGGAATATGTAACCATGTACACATCCATTCAACTTGGATATATGAAATCATATCATAATGTAAAGTCGTTCCGTCGCAATGGTGATGATGAGACGCAAGCAACAGATGGGGACTAACCCACATCGTGCCGCAATCAGCATCTTCACTACGCATACCGGTCCCCAATGGACAGTCTGTGAGTGCGTCGACGGAACTCCTCGTCCAAGTTCTTCTGAGCTTCTCGTGCCCGGACACACTTCTTGTTGTAGTCCTCTGGCAACCAGTGCCCTTTCCGAAGGCACCAATCCAGCAGGGGTGTGTCGCATTTGTTAGGGTCGATGGCCGAGATGATGGCGCTCACGTTGACCGTGTAACCATTCTTGCCAAGGTTTAGGCCATCCCTCACGAATGATATATACTTACAGTTGAAAGCTAGTGCAAAACATCTGAAAATAATATCACCCACCGGGGGCACTCGGTCCTTGACCAGGAGCTTCATTTCTTCCTTGGTGACATCGAGGATTCTCGCTGCAATCCACAGCTTGTAGAATGTGTAAAGTCCCTCGCATTTGCACACCATCATACGAATATATTCGTCACGCTCCTCAACCGATCGGAAGGCTCTTGTCCGAACATTCTCCGACTGAGAAATCTTCGGTGTTGTTGATGGCAATAGTATACCTTCCTGATCGTGCTCAGTGATGTTGGGGTACCTCTTGAAATCATTGTGGTAAGGGCAGCCCTCTCTCCCCTCGAGCTTGGCATTCATCGTTCTCTCCTCACCACCCTCGAACAACCCCCACATCTTGGACATCTGGAGTGCGATAAATCCTGCCATGTACTGAGCCTCACGCGGCTCGTCAAGGCAGATCGCCATCCGTTGGGAACTTATAATGTCCCGTGACGTCAGATCGGTGTCGCGTTAATGCCAACCGCCGTCTTCTTCTTCTGACGCATAGCCGGATGTATATCCTTGCGTGTCCATGTCGTCATCTTCTCCCGGAACTTCCTCCGCTTCGTCTTCATCCTCCTGTGCTGCCGCATCGTGGTTAGCTTCTTCCTGTGCACGCCTGGCATCTCCAGAGACGTTGGGGTTTTGGTTGTCCTCCTCGTCATCGGCTTTGATGTGAATGTAGTATCTTCCGATGGAGATCAGTTGTGCCTCGCACTCCAGGCATAAGCAGAAGCAGGTGGGGATCGCGGTCGCACATGATGGACATATCCGGCACCTCAGTCCTTCC